TTGTTGTCCAAAATCTTTCTGGAGCTGTGTCATCACTGCTGTCACAATTTATGTAAGTGTTTTGCAGCTGCAAGTAGCGCCTTCATTTCCTTTGTCCAAGTCATTGTGGGAAAATCATCAACAGCACACCTAAAAATCAAGTGTGTGTTTTTTTGTATGCTGTCTCTCATGAGTATGTTTAATTTAGTCACTTGTTATATACCCCAAACTTTATAAGAGTCTTTCCTTAAGCTACGCAAAAAGACCAGATGGCTACCATTTAAATGGTAAAAGTAGCCAAGGAGGTTTTACAAGTGCATATTTTTTCAGCAAAATCAGTATCATAATGCTTGACCATTGATAGTGTAGACTTGTTACAATTGTTGTTATTCTGCGTCAGTGTATTTAACAGCCAATAAGTAACAAGGTATTGCAGTTCAAATGTCATTTATTTCACCATTACATAGTTCCAATACATAGTTCACCAGAAAACATGACAAATTAAGGGGATATCCCTTGAGTGGGGTATTTAAAACTTTTAAATATCAATGTCGCTATCTGCCTCAAACATATTAGTTAGACTGAGCTTAATGGGTTGTTCATTGTTCAATATTTTGATTGAATAGTCTCTAACTACAAGAAACAGAGGTGCAGTGATCTAATCAAACCTACATTTCACATTAACTGGAAATACTAAGGCTCCGCTGTTCCAATGTAGCATTTCAGTTTTTCCTCTCTCTTTTGAAGAGTGTCTGCAGACACCAGTCCATGACCAGAGGGCATTTTTAATTAGAACTGAGATGGTTAATTGTCGTTTTTACAGCGACTTACCCAGAAATTAGCTGCATTTTTGACTTTGTAAGGCTGTTATTGGGAATGAAATAATTCTCAGCTTTTCCAGTTATTACTTGTGTCAGATTTCTCTCTCTCTCTCTCTCTCTCTCTCTCTCTCTCCCTTCAATCTAACATTAAATTAATGCTTTCCTTCAGGCTTAACCTAGTCTTTAATGGCCCCATTTTCTTTGAACCTCTGATCTGTGGAGGCTTAATGATATTTCTCTTACTAATCTCTCGCTCCGTCCTGTGTAATGCTTCATTCACAATGACTTGAAGACCCCTCATGTCGGACATAGATGGGATGTGGATGGAGGGTTGGACATGTTGGTCACTGGTTTTTCACTGCAGGCATTAAGGGATAAACTGACGAGAGCAATGAATGTGATTTATGGATGAAGACTACTTAATCTGTTGACACTTAAGCGCGAGCAAATGCAGAAGACGGAGCAAAGAGCGCTGCATGATATTTAATAGATCACAGCAAAATAGTAACCTTTGAAAAAAACATGTAAACTTTAAAAATGCTCTTAGACATCCATATTTTTAGAGATGTACTGTCTATTTCCAAACTGAGAGCATGTGTGTTAATATTTCATCGTTTTGTTATGTAGTAGCATATCTGCCAATACAAACCAACCAATAGTCTTCTATTAAATATCTGCATTGAACGATTAAAAGAAGAGCACAAGGCTAAAGTATTCCATATCATGTCTGACTTACATAATATTTGATGGTGTAAATCACCGAGCAGTTGTCATGCATCCTGCCTCTCCACAACAGTGTGACCTGCGTATTTCCATGTCAGAGGTTTTAGAGCGGTCAAGCATTGGGTGACACCCAACAAAGCCGAAGAGTAGTGGGTCACACAGGCATGCTACTCACAGCATGGCACACACATGCCGGTTATGTAAGAAACAGGACAACTGTTGGTATTTGTACCAGCATGCAGACACGCACACAGACGCTCACACACATGCTGCACAGATATTTTATTATATGGAGGGAGTTTGACTCATTGGGAGGGAATAAGCTGTTTTTCAGTCATTTCAAGTGTTGTAAAAGTCAAGTAACGTTGTTTATAATGCATATTTAAAACCTGCAAATGTTTACCCTAGTGCACTACCAAACAGGTTAGAAAATGCAATAAGATTAATACAAGTAAATAATACAAAAGAAATAACTAAGAAGAAGTCTTAAAATGTACAAGTTACTGTAAACGCTGTACAACATTGAACAAGTGTATGAAGGTTCTTTTGGGGGAATGACGACATGGTCTCGCTCCGTTTGTATATTGTTTTTATTCCACTTGTAAACAATTGTCACTAAGAATCATGTTGATACCTGCAATATGTAGACGTAGAAGTATTGTAGAAAAAGTGCAGGGAGTTTACTTCAGTGACGGTGTTGAGGTGTGACACTGACAGATAGCTGGCGGAGAGTGCCTGCTGGCTGGGTTTAGACTGGATAGGAGCCAAAGTGTTTCTAACAGGTCATCATGAAGGACGCTGAGTCTTCATCTCAATGTCCATGACTAACAGCTAGAAGACATCAGTCTGGTACTCTAGTGGTCTGTGTCAGAGTTTAAAGTGGGCTCGTACTTACCGGTATTCAGTACCAGCACATCTACATTTTTACTTTTTGGTGTACCGTGACTGTTTATTGTGCTCCAGCACTTCTCACAAGCTGCTCGAACTCTTCTCTGCCCTTCTCCATATCAAGTTCTCTGGGCAATTCATAATGGCCCTAAATAAACTGCATTACCTAGGGGGCACTACAGGATGCTCACCTGTTCCCGTTCTCGGATCTGTTACATTAACAATAATGTTATGATACCACACGATGATACAACAGAGCTTTAAAAGCCAATTTAAAGCCAGTGTGGATAGCCTGAGGGACAAGTGGACGTAGAGCACGGTGATGCAGAGGTGCTTCATTTGTGTGACACACTAAAAGTAGAGAGAGGAGAAAGTATCCAGGGATTTCGCCGGGAATAGGAGAATTAAGGGCATCCCAGCCTGATGACTTCATTGCACCAGACAGTAAAGCTGGTGTACATAGTCAATTATTGTTTTTTTTATTTATTAATAATTTAAATGGTTGTTCCCTTAGTTAAATAAATATATGTTGTGAAAATCAGCAATGTCTCCTAGTATCTTTTCTTCACTGCAGAAATTAGAATGTAATACTTGCTGATATTGGCCGAAACACTCACTAATATGTGAATAAGGGGAGCACTGGCACTATATGTGAAAATTAAAACTGTTTAGGTCTTTTCTTCTGGTCGACATCCAGAATAATAGAAACACAACACAATCTAGTACACAAGCAGATGAGTTATGATGCTGAGGCGGTTCATTTGTTTATCCACACTGTCCCTAAAAACATTTTGTAGTTGACAGGAGATTCAGGCCAATGCATTGGGTATTCATGAGTTTTCACAGTTAGTTGTCTGTTTCACTGTACAGTGCAGCTGTGCCCATTCTGATTTGTAGTCTTCTGAAGCTTCGGTCTTAATACATAATCTTAAGCTGCTATGATACCTCTTTAAACTTTTTACACTTTGATAATGTTACTTCTCTTAATGACAGCTGTATATTTGTTGCAATGTTCTTGGCCCATATTGGTGCAGGCTCAGGCTCTGTGCCAGTGACACAGTCTGTTGTATCTGACTTTTCTCAAGGCCACGAGAACAGAAATATAATTAGTGGTTCAGTGCTATCATACAGTTCTCCGGGGATTGGGGTTATGGAAAGAGGAAGAAGACATTTCTAGATGTTGGCTGATTGGCTGCAGAGATATCAGCTTTAGCTTAATGGACTCTTGTAATCAGGAAATGACTTGGTTTCCAGTTAACACTGCTTCATCTGCCATTATTTTGTTTGTGTTGCATGTGCGCACACACAGACACAAATATTTTCCTCTCACAGTTTTAAACATCCTATCAGTGGAACAATCTGATGCTGGATGTCTTGTTCACTCACATTTTGGCTTTGGGTCAGATCCCTCTATGTTCGTCAGAGTTATTTCTGGAAAAGCGCGGCGGAGGGGGAGGTGGAGAGTACAATGTTGGATAACCGTCCGCTCGTACCGTTTGGCCCTGCAGAGTTTATCCTAAGTGTCTCTGGACGCGAGGCTAAATTTAGCAGGTCTGGGCTTTTGATAATTCAGGGGAATTTGGTTTTTGAGCCTCTATTATGAAGCAGCATATCACAGCTTCTCTCGCTCCAGCTCTCAGCAGCTCCAGTGCTGAGTTTTACAAAATGCTCTTTGCGAGGGCTGCTGCGAAGAAGGAACACAAAAAGTGCAGAGCTTGCTGTGTGTCATTTTATGTCAAAACCAATGTCCTAGGAGCTTACATGAACACAAAAAAACAGAACCTCCCTCTCTTCTGTCTCCAGCTCTTTTTCTTTGTCTTCTCTCATCCTTCTTTCGATCTCTCCCCCTCCCCTTCTCTTCCTCTCACACACACTCACATACACATGCACATCACATTTGTTATAGGGGCAAAAACATGCTTGCCTCATCATTTTATTTTGGTGTGCAAAGACCTATTTCTGTAGTGAAATAAAGGACAGCCCAGCAGAATAGAGAATGCAGTGCTTCTCGTAGCACAGCGACATATAGACTCCTAACTGCCATACTGGTGGATTCAGAGGAGATCTCTGTGGAAGGGAAGAGGTCTCCGTGGCAGCTGTGAGGACCACCCGGTCATCGAACTTCCTACGTTTGGGAATGAGAGACATTTGGATTTAACAAAGCTGGAATGACAGTCCTTTGGGGATCTGATGGTTGACGGAGGATGACGATAATAACTGTTGGGATGTTATGCTGTGGCTCTCTCGTGGATTTACTTTTTGAGATGTTTGGGCTTTAGCCTTGCCTTGATTTAAGACACCCGTGGATTTCACTATACTGATTTTAGTGGGACAATGGATCTACTGCATATGTGGATATTGGCATTGTTTTTCCCCTGTTAAGATGTTTTTTGGATGTCTGAGAAATTATGACAGAGTTCTACCTGGTACAGTACAATGTTTGCATTTATGTGTGCTTTTGTTCTCCTGTGTCTGATTTGATGCAGGTAAGCATGTGGCCAGAGTCTGACCTGACGTACTCACCTCCTCTCTCTTTTTCTCTCTTTCTCGTCTGCTTCTCTTTCTCTCTTTCGCTCTTCTCCTCTCCAGTCTGACAGTAATGCCAGTTACCTGCGAGCTGCCCGGGCAGGGAACCTTGAAAAGGTCCTTGATTACCTCAAGTCTGGGGTTGAGATTAACATTTGCAATCAGGTACGTTTTCTAAGACTATTAAGACTGTAAGAAATCCTCCTTCAGGTTAAAGAAGAATATCAAGTAATTTTTTTCCTACACACATAAACATGCTTACACCCTACTGCTGCGTCTGCCCAATTTTAAATTGGGGGCTCAAGGGCTCATGTTTTCTGACCTTAACCCATTCGCTCAGCACAAGTAAGCATTTATCACATAGTATTACCTAGCGCATGACGTACTCCAACTCCACTAAATATGTTTCTTTCTCAGAATGGTCTGAACGCTCTCCATCTAGCCTCCAAGGAGGGGCATGTAGAGGTTGTTGCTGAGCTCCTGAAGCTCGAAGCCGCCGTGGATGCAGCCACAAAGGTAAGGCCCAGCCCATCACCTATGGCAGCTCAGCTGATGTTATGGAGGACTATATTTGGATGCAGCACAAAACACTGGCTGTACTGTAGGATTGAATGCAGCGACAGTACGAGTACTGTAAGTGTGCAGCCTTTGTTAGGGTTTATTATTAGATCAATTTTTAATGATCCCTGTGGGATTGCCGCTGGAAAAAGTGAGAGTATTAAGCAGGACATAATAAAATATATATATCAGAATGAAGCAAATGGAGTTCAACAGCAGAATGCATTAATTGGAAATATATGTAATAAAGAGCAAGGTGGGCAAAAATTATCAGCAGCACAATATGATATCATATGATACATCAGGGGAGGGTCTTTTCCTTTGAAGCATCTTTACTCTGATGCTAAAATGAGTTGAAAACATTATCTAGATTGAGCCCAGAAGGCTTTCACTCCCATTTAATCGTCTCGTTCAGCCTCTCTGCCACAGGCCACGTGCCTAGTGCTGACATAAACACAGGACACAATGAAATATTCAAGATCAGGGAGAAAATCTCCCCAATTAAAGCCTCTCTCTATTGTGACCCCTGAGGATGCTGGGGGATTAGTTTGAGATCTTGGGAATCCACTGCCTGTGCCCTAATGGCTATAAATTTCTATTTTATGCAGCCGATGGAGACAATCAGAGTGGCAGTGCTATTGAGGATACCTAGATTTAGTAACACAGAATGTTTCATTTAGGCTGTGTGGGTGCTTAATGCTAAAATTAATTGTGTATCCGCCCCTAACGTTGTGCTGTTCTTCTTGTGGGAGAATTAAGAAGAAGAGGCCTTGTCCTCAGTTCATTAGCCCCTTAGCAGCTCCATAACAAAAAGATCTTGATTTAACTTCGTTATCATTTTTGGGGCTGTTCTTTGTGATGTTTTACTGGATTGCTTTATGTTTGTGAAGCTTTTGATGTTTGAACCAGTCAGAGTAGACTTTACGCACACAAAGTTCTTAGTTGTGGTGTTCATGGTGGAACCCTATCTGCTAGAATAACTAATAATTGGTTTTGCCAAATACATTTGAGGGAGATTATGTTCAGTGGCAATGTTTTTCCTGCGGTTTTGTACTGCACAGAAGTTGTACAGAGGCGGTCAGGGTTAGTTGGTGGGCGTGCCAAGCAGGACTTTATGTCTTGCTGGGTTATATCTCGTACTCAAGTCACTGTTGACTTTTTAAATATTTAACCAATACCACAATTTATGTCATCCCTTAAAGAGGACTTCCAATTTTACACATCAAAGGTTACCAGATCTCTGTAACCCGCTCCTTATTTCTACTTGGTGCTAGCGGCTTGAGGCTACATTAGAAGCAACACACAAAAATGTCAGACCAAACTGCCAGCGGTTAAGTGGCTTTTGTAATTTAAAAACAGTGCTGAACAGATATTGTTGGGGTGAAAATATTGTTGTCAGTGAACGAAAGAGGTTTAACGGTCTCTTCGTCTTTCTCTTTTCAGTTTTCAAAAAATTACAATAAAGTTGAATCAGTACTGCTCTCAACAAAAGCTGAACCGTTAAAGCTTCACAAATGTAGTATTCTGTGTACTGCAGAGAGGTATTGCATTATATTACAGTGGTGATCATGACAGGTCAGATGAGTACCGCTTTCCAAAGAAACTATAGTGCAGTAAAGTGTCTATGGGAACAAATCAATATTAATTTTAGTGTGTCTGCACAGTGTGCCCTAAGTGTCAATAATAAAGCATTAGCGAGTCAGTCATGATAAAGTAACAGTATTTCATTTTATGATTCAGATTATAAACTGATAGTAGGAGTGGCTTTACTGTTTTGTATTCCGGAGAAGCCTTGAGGCTCAGAAAAGCACACAAACTGTCTTCAGCTACATTATATACCAAACAGTCTTGTCTGTCTCTTTATTAATCTGCCTCGTGCCTCAGCAGGCAATGTTATCTGATTTCGTTGCTACAGTATACAGTACATGTGACAGATGATCGCTATTGTGCAACAGCACTTGTCGCAAATAACAGAGCCCAGTATCACGCGGCCAGCAGAGCGGCTGGGGGTCGACTCTGCCTTCACAAGGACCTGTACAGGCTCATAAAAAGCCTCCTGTAGTTTTATTTATGGCCGAGGCTCAGTGCGAGATCATTTATGTGTGGGACGTGGGGCATCGGAAGTGACACATTGTTGGCAGTACAAGCAGGGGGATGCCAGAGCTGGAACACCAACGGTACACAAGTTTGGTTGACGCGAGGGGGATTCACTGGGGCACATGGATATATACAGACTACAGTGGCAAACACACACACACACACACACACACACAGTGGAACAGGTGGGGCAGAGCTTAACACACATTCTTGTGGTTGTTCCATGTAATCCAGAAAGGAAACACTGCTCTGCACATAGCCTCACTGGCTGGCCAAACGGAAGTCGTCAAAGAGCTGGTCACTAATGGAGCCAATGTCAACGCACAATCTCAGGTGGGATATAGTCAACATGTTCACACATACACACACATGCAATGTCAAAATGAAAGTAAGGTACTGTCAGTCTATAGTACATTTAGGACCTGAGACAACTTAAATGTAATTACTGTGCTGTGATGCACACATTTGCTTGGATGATACTGTATCATGAAGTCACTGACATTGAGGGAATCACTCAGTGGAAAGATCCTCTCTGACAGAATATGGCATCATGCCAACTAGGCCTCTGCCTCTCCGGGATACTGCTGTCCTTGCATTTTACGTTTAACTCTATCAGATCAAGGTGAGAGGAAAGACTTATGAGAGGGTCTTATCAAACCCTTAAACAGCCAGTAGAGATGTCACAGCAACACAAAAGTCTTACTGACTTTACCTAAATGTTTTGTTTTTTCTTCATCTAATAGTAAAAGTGTCATCATTTAAGGAATATTGGGACATTTTCCTTTACATTCAGTGTTTTGTGATGTGGTTTAAAGGTCAATCTTAACCTGTTTTAATATGTTTGTAAATATGTGTTTTGGTCCATGTTGTGTGCAGAATGGCTTCACTCCTCTGTACATGGCAGCCCAGGAGAATCACCTCGAGGTGGTACGGTTCCTTCTGGAGAACAACGCCAGCCAGAGTATGGCCACTGAGGTACTGTACAAGCATGTGTGTTTTTTATTTATTTTATTATCAATTTTGATTTATTGTTTGTGTGTGCTCATACGTGTATGTGTGCCAGTCCTGTGTCCACCTCTCTTCAGTCATACCGTTACAGTATGTCACCATGCATTTTCTCTGCCTCAGTCATGTATGGTCTTTACATCTGTTGTACTAACCACCTTCATCTCCTCTCCTCCTGTTCCCTTCCTCCTGTTATCATCCCGACCCCACTCACTCTGCATCTGCCTGTGTCTCCGTCTGTTTCTTCATCTCTCTGTCCTGTCTTTATTTTCCTGTCTCTGTCTCTCTCTTGTCCTTCCTGTCTCACATCCCCCCCCTCCCTCCCTTGCTCCCCTTCTCTTCATGAGGGACTAAGCAGAGCTTCATTGATTGGTAGTGTATGGTGGTGGAGGCAGAGTGACCTTGAGTGGGTCACAGATGAGGTCTGCTCCGCTCGCTGCCTCCGCTCCACGGCTGCTGCTGCTCTTACTGCTCTGATTTACGTTGCTCAGCCCGTAGAACCCATACACACACCTACTTACCAGTCACCCCACATATACACACACCAGCACGTGCACATACGGAGATAAATAGCTGATGGGGCTAATGGAATACCCCAGCCAGTCTGCAGTCCGCTGGTTTACATCTATCTAACATGGGCTACAGGGTAGAACATGGAAGCCCTTCAAGACATGCATCCAAATACCCGTAGAATAGCTTTGCACATGTGCACACAGATCCAGTACTCATGTAAATATGCATGTACACAAAAACATCTGCGCACACACACACACACACACACACACACACACACACATTCAAACTTACAGTATGCAGTAACACACTGCTGTGACAGGGAGCTTTCAGCTAAATTATGCATCATAAGGGTGGTGTGTGTAGGAGATAGATGTGAATCTTTTTCACCCCATCCTCTCATTATGTAACTTACATTAGTTTCCCATATGGTTAGGAGGCTTGGGACATGTACAGTAACCTCTACATCAGTTTGACACATGGGCTGTTAGGTTATGATTTACTATCCTAAATGCTCCAAGCAACTCTGTTTCTGTTTTTAGTGTCCAGGCGATTGTTTTTCTCCATAGCTCCCTAAAGAACCACATGAAACAGAAACAAGAGATTTCATAATGGCTACATAAATATAAAAAAGTTACAATGATAAGGTAATGTCCGACTTCAATTTAGCTTTTTTTGTTACATTTTCTTGACACTTTATGGATCACTGAATCAAGTTTTATGTAGTTCTCAGACTAAAGAGGATTTGTCTTTTAAAAGGAAAAGAAAAGCCTTTCATTGGATCGTTAAAAACACATGCATTATAGCTTTTTAAAAAATTCTACAGGACTCAGGGCTCTTGCATTGCTTACCTCTATCCCTGCAGCAAAATAATAATTCAGCCAAATATAATATATGATCTCACCATCATTACCTGCTCCAAATCTGTAGGTGTGACTGGGTGGATGATATGAGCATATCATCCATCCAGAAATGCATCGCAGCGCCCATCCAGCTCCAATGACTCCTCTCTCCTCCTCATACACAGGATGGCTTCACCCCTCTGGCGGTGGCCCTCCAGCAGGGCCATGACCAGGTGGTCTCCCTGCTGCTGGAGAACGATACAAAGGGCAAGGTACGCCTGCCTGCCCTGCACATCGCTGCCCGCAAGGACGACACCAAGGCCGCGGCCCTGCTCCTACAGAACGACCACAACGCAGACGTTGAGTCCAAGGTGAGTGACAACGCTGATAGAGCCAGTTTCTGGTGGTGGATCTTAAGTTGGTTGCTTTGTATTTTTTTTTGTATCTCTTTGATTCTTTTAATATTGATGCTTTTGTTTTGTTTTTTTGTCAGTTTTTGTTTTTTCTCTCCTCCTTTCTTGGTTGAATTTGCTTTTGATGCTCTTTTTTGGCAGAAAGGAGAAAGGAGCAGAAGTACATTTTTGTTTGTTTTAGTGCAAGTTTGTATAATATATTTCTCAAACCTAAAATTGTCTCTATACAAACGTTAAATAACACTGACTTCATGCCCAGAACTTTATGGCTGTAAATTATTTTGTACTGAGCTCTTCTCCCCTTTCCCTGCTCCTCCACTTCATATCGGTGGAAGCCCTTTTCTGTTTTTTGCTCACTAACTGCTTATTTTCTCCTCTTTTGGCTGACTCTGTAGATGATGGTGAATAGAACAACAGAGGTACACCTCTACTATGTACATTACGTAGTCTCTCCATTGCAGCTCATAAAAACTCTGAAAAAAAAGAACAACAAACACTTCAGTGCCCCTGACTTGATGCAGTAGTGTTTCTGCAGCCCTTTGTCACTTCCCCTTTCCCATTTTAACTCAATCTCATCTTCCTCTCCATCGCTTCATTCATGTAGTGTATATCTCTAGTCATAGAGAAAGTCAGAGCAATAGCGCATGGCTACTGATTTAGAAATTTCTGAGGCTGGAGGCTTGGGTATCACGGTTTTGCTTGGTTCTAATGGTTTCATGGTGTCCAAAGCTTAAGCTGCGGCTGTTATTTTTGGTAAATCCTTTGTGACTGTTGACAAATGTTGTCCTAATGTGTCCTGACACAGCCCTTCCATGAAACTGATTAACATGATAACCTGTGTTAGCATGAAAAGTGGTTATCATTCATTGAAAAGTTTGTCCATAACCTGCATGGTAACCAAATCCCCATTAAGCTGTAAAGGAACCCAGCCTTCTAGCAACAGAGTCTAGTCTAGTTAGTTTACTAGTCTACCCTCTATCAATGTTAATGCCTCTAATCCTCAACCTTTGCACCTAAAGCATTTTGCATGGGACCAAAGCTAAAATCTACCTCAACACTGCTTATATGGTTACAAGGACCCCTTCGTCACACCAAAGCCAGGCGGCCACCTTCTGTGTGTTCCTGTTTTGGTTGGCATTGTTTCTGGCTTTGGCAGGCTGGCCAGTTATCTGGTATGATTCATCCAAAAATGGCTTTGTTGATCTGAGGTTCCTGCATCGTGGTAAACAAATTTGCCCAATACTCTGATGGAAGATGGAAGAAAGTTATGGCAGATTCTGTAAACGGCATATGACATGACCCTAACCCTAACAAATTGTATGCACACCAATTAACTATAAAAAGACAGATTTTTGCAGTTCATTTAGATTTTTGGTTACCTTACTTTTCTAATATGATTTTAAGTATGAAAATAACTTTATTATGGATTATGGTTGGTATTTTTCAGACACCAGATATCAACAGAGTGGACACATGTGTGAGACACCTGCTCACCACTGGATTATTGGTTACTTGAAATTGAGATTCCAGTGATTAGATAGCTTAATGTGATATTCGTTTACTCATTGGACAGATTGTTTCCAGTGTCCCTCGGTTGCTTTGACAGCTGTTGCTCACTAAGCCAGGGGTTTTGCCAGGAAATTAGTTTTATTCAAGATGTTAACAAATGGACATTAGGTTAATGTGCAGGACAACTTTTGCTAAAAGTATCAGGATGTTGTAAATGAGATGATATACATTACAAGTACTTATGTCTAAATAACATCTGTCGAACTGGAGTTGTATATACCTATACAGTTTAACTTTACTTTGTGTGATAGTTTAATTAGTTATGTTTCAAAATCATGAAAACACATATAAGCTTGTATGGTATACTGAATCTAAAACCCCTCTAGTTGTCAGCATACCATTGGCCCCATGTTTGATGCTTCAATAAAAGGACTTTCTCTACCACTGAGAAGAAAGTCAGTGTAACAGTGAATAGTAAAGTGTGTCCTTGTCTGATGGAGTGTGACTGTATGTCAACCATTAGCCCTGTAGACTGCAATGAAGCCCAAGGTCTGTACTGAACAATGTGCTGAGTTTCACAGTCTGTAATGTAATGTCTGTGCTTGTCTGTTTGCATGTGTGTTGTATGGCTTTCTCCAACGCTCAGAGTGGTTTCACCCCCCTCCATATCGCGGCTCACTATGGCAACATTAACGTGGCCACGCTTCTGCTGAACAGAGGGGCTGCTGTGGACTTCATGGCTCGGGTGAGTTAATTCTGCCCTCTGCTGTTTTGGAGGGGTATTACCAGTATTTAAGGTAAACAAGGGTGGATATAATATTTATAATGCTACATATGTTTAAACAATTTCCTATTTTACACTATGCAGTGTGTACTCAGTTGCAGCACGTTTCACAGAAATGAATAATTGAGTCTCTTCCCTTTAATTATACAGTAAAGGAACTGAGAAGGCACCAATGTAAAATACAAGGGGAGATTTAAATACATCACTCCTTGAGAGGGAAGCTTCCTTCTTCCTATATTGGACATCATTATCATTTGTTTCAAGTGGTGGTTGGGACACAAATTCCCTAACCTAGTCCTTTAAATGAAGTATACAACAGTATAATTGTTACATCAGCTGATATGCCTCTCAGTTTTCATAATAGTTGTATCACATTACAAGGCTGCACTCTTATTTCAACTAATGTTTTGATATAATAAGCAGAGTAGGATTTCTATTTATTTAGTGTGGTATTTTCATTGTAATGCAAGAGTGGGTGCCATTAAAATGTGTTTGTTTCTTTATTAGACATTAGCTAACCAGAGTCAACAGTGGCCTGTAATTATATCAGCTAGTGTATGAAGGAGTGTTGGTGTTTGTTCTTCTTTTTGACACTGATTACAGGTTAGGTGCAAAGAGTCTGCTGCAGCAGCGAAGCTAGATGGGATTAAACAATGGAGCTGTTTTACATCTGTTTGGTTGATAATAAAAGACTATGTACACTTAATAAGGGGAGTGTAGGGTTTGCATTAGATCTGACCAATTATAAATAAATTACATTCTATTTACAGTTGACAAGATAATGAATGAACTTAGTTTCTTATTTAATAAACCATTACATTAAATTAACACCAATTTCCTCTTTTTCTTTTGTTTAGAATGACATCACGCCACTTCATGTGGCATCAAAAAGGGGCAACAGCAACATGGTCAAGTTGTTGCTGGACAGAGGGTCCAAAATTGATGCAAAGACCAAGGTGAGACTGTGGACCCAATTCTCCTCAGAAAAGACATTCAGAAATAAATGAATCGTGAGGCTGAATATTATGGTCTTTCGGAGGCTGATAGACCTAATATTCCATTCTGGTAGCACTGGATTTTGTAAAAAAAAAAAAAAAAAAATCTGTTTATCAGACTGACATTTCTGTTTTCCACAAACGTGTGAAAAACTTTTTACAAAAACATGTAAAAACTCCATAAAAAGTAAGTCTGTGGTGCTGCTGCCTCATCCGAGTTTGACTCTTTTCAGTATCTCAGTTTTGTTAGAATTATGTTTTTTTTATTCAGTGATTAACTAATTGTGGAACCAAATTCGTCTCTTCTTTCCCAGGATGGGCTGACACCTCTTCACTGTGGGGCGAGGAGTGGGCACGAGCAGGTGGTAGAAATCCTACTAGACCGAGGAGCTCCTTTCCTGTCCAAGACCAAGGTAGCTACTGGGACAATCAATTCAGGAGACGCTGCTTAGCTCAGAATAGGAAGGAAAGGTCACAAACACATTTTATTTTTGCTGTTATAAAATAGAATAAATCACATTTCACTTAAAACAGGTTACACATTGTTTATAACATTGTAATACAGATGTTTGTATAAACTAGCCTTCCTAACCACACAGAGCTATATGAAATCTGGACAATCAGGACAAGATAGCAGGTTGTTGTTGCTGTAGTGTTGTCGCATTGTCTCCATAACATGTGTGCGACCTCTCCAGAACAGCCTGTCTCCGCTGCGTAGCCCTACAGTTTGACCGCGCAGGACGACCAGTGTAACAAAATAGACATTGTTGTAATGACCTCGTTATAACAATGCTTCTGTAACCTTCTCAGCAACTTCCTTCACAGTCTTTCTGTGCAGCGCATTGGCCACGCCCTAACTTACTGTATCTGTCTGTCCATCTGTCTATGTGTCCGTCTGCGTGTGTGTTTGTCTCTCTCTCTCTTTGTCTTGCGCTCTCTCCCCCTCTCTCTCTTTTTCTTTCCCTCTCTCCCCCCACTATAGAACGGTCTGTCACCGCTCCACATGGCCACTCAGGGGGACCACCTGAACTGTGTCCAGCTCCTGCTCCAGCATGACGTGCCGGTGGACGACGTCACCAACGACTACCTGACGGCGCTGCACGTCGCTGCCCACTGTGGCCACTACAAGGTGGCCAAGCTCATCATGGACAAGAAGGCCAACCCGAACGCCAAGGCTCTGGTAGGGATGACAGGATGGGAGGGACACTTTATTTAACCAAGAGAAGTGCTTCACTGAGACTAAGAGTCTATTTTACAGGAGTGTCCTGGCCAAGAAAGCAGAAGCACAGTAAAAACATAAAATTTACAAAGAAACATAGACCACAAATTAATAAAACAGATCATAGAAAGAGAATAATCAAGTGTCAAGCAGATATGATAAGAAGGATCATATTTGAGGGCAGATACTAAACTAATTAATTATTTTAAGTTGCTAGTTGCAGAAAGACATTATTTTTAATGTTCAACATTTTTATATTGTATAATTTTCTGGAAAAAAGAAGTCTAAACATTCAGTCCCCTACAAAATATTGGCAAAAAGAAGATCCCATTCATAAAGAATAATGGAATAATTAATTAAATGAATAGAGGAAATGTGCAAAGATAATATAACTAGAGCGATAACTAAAGATAAGATAACTATTTTATCATTGCATTGTGGTTTTTGTAACAGAGTAACCAAAAGGCTTTTGCTGCACTGGTGTGGTAGTTTGAAAGGAAAATGAGAATAGGTTGTGATACTTAAGTGGTACAAAGTTCTACCTGAAAGTGACAAAACATTTTGAAGAAAAACAGAAGAGGAGAAAAACGGAGAACTGGCAGGTAGATGAGAGAAAAGGTTGTACCACATGTTGAATTTTGATGTCTAGATTTGAAACTGACACCAAGGGATAAAAAGGCACTTTCTAAGAATCAGGATTTGAGAAGAAGGAGAAGACTTGAGAGATAAAAGGTTTCTTCCTCACCCTTGTGGTTTGACACTGACATTTTCTGCACCACCCATTCATTTCCTGGCAGATCATTTTGCTTCCCCTTGTCAGCCTGATAAAAGAAGTCACACAATCACAGATGTGACTGTGGAGAGTTCACCCCTTACTGGAGTGGTATTGGGGTATGGGCTGAGATGTTGTTTCTTTCTTTCTGTGTGCAGAATGGTTTCACTCCGCTTCACATTGCCTGCAAGAAGAACAGAGTGAAAGTGATGGAGCTGCTGTTGAAACATGGAGCGTCTATCCAGGCTGTCACTGAGGTATCAGACTGGCCCACATTTACTCTTCTCTGCTTGACTCTACCTTTTAGCAAGTGATTTCTTTAAAGTGCACTGGCTTTTAAGTTTTCTGAGTGCTTGTCTTTGTTTGGACTTAATATTACTTCTTGACAGCTTTGCAAAGGTGTGATATTTATTGTTATGTTTGATAGTAATGATCATATGTGTTTCTCTACAGTCTGGCCTGACACCCATCCATGTGGCAGCCTTCATGGGCCACGAGAACATTGTCCATGCACTGACACATCATGGGGCATCCCCCAACACGACCAATGTTGTGAGTGGATCATTTGTAATGCACTGTTACATGTTAAAAGTATGTTTTGAAATATTAGTTTCTATTGATAATGTTCATATCTAACATTATTTCATATGAAAAGCTTCCTCTGACAATCTTTTCTGTGTGTCTTCCAGCGAGGTGAGACAGCTCTCCATATGGCAGCCAGAGCAGGCCAGGCAGACGTAGTCCGATACCTGCTCAAGAACGGAGCCAAGGTGGAGACCAAGTCCAAGGTTAGAACACTGAGCCCCATTATCAATCACTGTGTCGTGGAGGAAAAAACAAACAATGATAAAATACTGGGCCAAAAGTCACTTTCTCCTACTTTGCCGCAGGATGACCAGACAGCGTTACACATCTCCAGTCGGCTGGGGAAGGTCGACATCGTCCAACAGCTGCTGCAGTGCGGTGCCTCTGCCAACGCTGCCACCACCTCAGGCTACACCCCCCTTCACCTGGCTGCCCGCGAAGGACACCAAGATGTTGCTACCATGTTGCTGGAGAACGGAGCCTCACTCTCCTCCTCAACTAAGGTGGGTCTGATGAAGGATCTCTTAACCAGACCATATTCATTATTTCAGTGCCGTGTATCTCCACTAGTTGGCACCAGTCTCCTTTCCAACAGCCTCCATGGTATCTGTCTGATTGTGTTTATTAGTTTGTTGCTGCTGAAATATAATACAGCAGCTTTCGGCAGTCAGACTGCAAGCCATAACCCCCAATTCTTATGTAATGCTGAGATCTGATGTTTTTTGTATTTGGCTGTTGAAGTTATACTTTAAATAAAAAAATTGTGACCAGATAATATGAGGAAGATGAGGAATAAGAGAACCAAACTGTTTATTATGGCTTTGTGTGGCTGCTACTTCTGTACGGAGGTGGGTGTGGATGTAGAGTCAGAGCATTTACAATTTGACCCCTCGAGTTTTGCTTGTACAGAAGTGTCACCACAAACACCTCATCGCAGCTGAGTGACTCCCACCGGTGCAGAATTGTGATGAATGTCGATCTAAAGTGACACAAATTTTTGACACACAGGTCGGATTGCACTAAATCAGACCTGTGTAGCAGAACAATCCGATGTCTGCAGTGTGGATGTAGTTATTAGATCAATGAGGGTCAAACATATTAGGTTCTGTGACATAGTGGAGTTAATATATCGATCAATTCTACAGTGTTCAGGTCAGTGGTTGTAAGTGTGTTGGCCAAGTAATTTAAGACAATTCTTTCTACCTAAGGAGGACATGTATGCAGTCACACATTAACATTTGGTGGTTGTAGTTCTACATGTGACTAATTGCACAGATCAAGGTCAGAAAGAGATGTAGAGTAGTCTTTATGCAATTAGTTTGTGTATGTGTGTGATATGTTGCTGGGGGCTGTCTTTGAAGGTGACCTCTGTCAGTGGAACAGATTAATGAAGGGTAAACCCCATGGTGCCAGTGCTCTTTCTGTCTTCTGTCTCTCCTGTCTCTCTCTCTCTCTCTCTTGTTCTCTCTTCCTGTCTCTCCACAGCACACAACCACAACACACACACACACATGCACACCATCTTTTGGGAAATCTCCTGAGTCAGCTGTTCAAGAAAATTATGTCACACCAATCTAGGAACCGAGGAATTGGGGGATGGAAACCATGAATTGACCCATTTTTGATGTTTATGAAACAAATCTATTATACAAGTGTTTACGTTTTTTAAACTTGAAGCTAACATCTCTATCCAGCAACCTATCTTTTCTAAAATGATCCATTAATGTAAAAGCTGTATGAATACTGACTGCAACCAGTCACACAAATGAGGTCGTGTGTTTCAGAGCGTGGAATGGGAATCTGTGGGAGTCCCACATTCCTCTGGAAAATATGACCTAATGTCTTTAAATATCTTCACATACACACAGGAAGGAAGCCGAGATTAACATGATCACATTATACAATAGCCATTTATAGATCTGGAATACACGAGGAAATAAGGGCCTTTGGATTAGTCTCTCAGAGTATCACATACCTTAAAACAATCTAAGGTTCATGTGTTGCTATACCTAAATTAGTCATCCACTGTTAATAAGTCATCAAATAATGTAGTTAATTAAATTAATTCATAATAGTTAAAAATCAAGTTTGCCTTCCTCTACAACAGATATTTGAATAATAATATTATGTGTCAAATGTTATCCAAAGAAAAACCTTCATGTAAAAACATTGCCACTGACGGATATTTTTATTTTAGGATGAAACATAATGTTTTGAATGAACTTAAAGGGGCCTTGAATGGGTTGATAAGCATCTTAATTTTTCAGTTTGGGTAAAAACAGAATCTTTGTTACTGTAAGGCAATGTTTCATTAGTGCTACTACAGACCTTATGTGTACAAATCCTTTATTTCTCAAGTTTAAAAATGGAAACTGTAATTCAGACGGTTTCTTTGCAACTATGTGAGAAACTATGTTGTTATGAAGAAGAGCTTGCCCCCAGACCAGCAAGGGCTGACCTAAAACAACACAAATATTCACTTCCTGTTTTAATACCCATGTCTACTCTTCCTCTCTATACTCTACATGCTTTTCCATCTTTCCTGTTTTTACTTCATTTTGATGATGTATGTTATTTTGTGTTCAACAGAAAGGGTTCAGTCCCCTCCATGTGGCAGCAAAATATGGCAAGATGGAGGTGGCCAGTCTCCTCCTACAGAAGAGGGCTGCCCCCGATGCTGCTGGAAAGGTGAGATGTCTGAGAAAGCAGATATGCCTGGTATCTGGTAGGGAGTCAGTCTTAATCTTGACCAATATTTAAGGGCGTTTTCAGATGTATCGCTGTTGGGAAACATGAGCTGTCTGTGGAGGGAGGGGCCCAGCATAGAAATTACTCTACATATTAGGCAGGAAATGACACCCCTACACAGAGGAGAGAAAAATGAAGGCAGGAGGAGTATAAACTCAAATTTCTGCATCATTACAAGTAACCAGCATCAAGGTGTGTCAGGATCAGGAGTTTTAAAATAATCCTTCAAATAATTCCTGTAAACACACATTAAGAAACATGTTAAAAAAACAGCTAATAGGATTAAAAGTCTGTATGTAGAAGATAACTTATATAACAAAAAGTACAAAACACCAAGAAAGAAATTATACATAAGTTGTTTGGTTATCCTGAAGCTTTGTAAAGATTTTTAACTGTACATTAGACAGTCCGCTTTTCCAGTGAGATCCAGCCAACAAATCAGGAAGTCATTCAGATACTGTGACCATTTATCATTCTCTCTAAGTCTCTTTCTGTCGCCTGCCCTTATCCAACCTGTCTCTAAGAGAGTAAACAGAACCCTTTAGGAGTTGCATTTTCCAAGCTGCAGCTGGGCATAGGAGTGGTTGTGTGGAAGAGTGGCAGGTTCAGGACTGATCCTAGGACAACACAGCCAACAGATGCTTGTCCTGTTGCAAAAAACTTCTTGGTAGATTTGCTTATATTCAGCTGATGATATGCACTCATTCCACCTCCACATGCACCCTTGTGCAAACACGTTTGTATACACATGCACACACATATTGACACACTTACTTAGCACAGGCCTACTGGCACTGATTATGGTGTTAGCCAGTTGTGTGTGTGTGTGTGTGTGTGTGTGTGTGTGTGCGTGTGTGTCTGTGCCACCATCTGAGAGCATTTAAAATAATGGCAGTCAGGTATGATAATGAAGCTTCCACACTGCTTGGTGGTGCCGTGTTAAGACCAGTCTCATTGTGATGCTGAAGCTAAACACAAAGCAAAATCAGACTTTTATTGCAGTTTAATTTGACTAATTTTCTTTAGAGATTAGAAGAAGGAAAATTACTCTGTTTTTCTCACATTTTGACCAAAAAACATTTTCTCTCTATCTCACATATCTCTCGGACAGTTTTAACAACACATTGCAACAGCTTACGAGATAATCAGGATACATTCTGCACACTTTTTCGGACTCAATTCAAGTTTTTGTTAAATGCATGGGACATTCCAGTGGTTCAGTCAGCATCCTGGTGACTCAGGCCTGGTTGCTGAGTCTGGAGGGGATGTTAAGACCAAGACAATAACAACAACATGCTGTTACTGCTGCAGCACTCTAATACTGCTACTCCTCCTACAACTGCTGCTAGAAAAATAATTCTCACATCATCAGCTGTCCAATGAAAACCATTATGTCCAATTTTAGTGCTTTTACATTTTTTAAAACAAATATAGGATTAAAGGGGAACTCCGTTGATTTTACACATCAAGGTATGTTCACATATCTTGGGGAGTACCACAACTTACATGAAAAAAGTTGTTTAAACCCATTTGTGACCCCAGATGGAGCAGCATGAAGTCTAATAAAGTGCCTCAAGTGTATCACTTAAGTTAGCATCAGTTGGGTCTGAAGACTATCAGTTTGAAAACCCCAAAAATCAGTGTGTGTAGTCAGAAAGTAAAGTGATACCAGACCTCTGTGGTCCCCTCCTCATCTCTGCTGGAGGCTACATTAGCTGCTAGTAGCATAACACCCTTGAATCTACGACTAAACTGTCAGTGGTCGAGTTGCATTGTGGGTATTGTAGGCGCCATTGCTACAGTACAATGTTACATCAGTGGTGTAACTCTTTTAAGTCTTCCTTTATGGGTTGAGATTTTGTAGATACATTTCATTGGCCAGCGAAGACATGCTCATCACCAAGTCTTTTAATAATGTCCCCTTCCCCTAGCTTCTTCTTCTGTATATCAGCATGAAGTGGTTGCCTTAAACTCTCTCCTGTACTAACTATCTTCCATCAGTTTGTCCCTTCATGTCTTTACAATCTGTTGATTTTTTTTTTTTTCATTTTACTTTTTAACGTGTGTGTGTGTGTGTCAGTGCCTCTAACCTGTTGTGTGGCTGCATGCTTGTGTGTGTGTGTGTGTGTGTGTGTGTGTGTGGGTGCGTGGGTGTTGGTGTGGCTGTTTTAGAGCGGGCTAACTCCACTGCATGTAGCTGCTCACTACGATAATCAGAGAGTGGCACTGCTGCTGCTGGATCAGGGAGCTTCCCCACACGCTGCCGCCAAGGTATCCACACAAACACACATCAACTCTCAGACTACAATAAATTCTCCTGGTTTATGCCCTCAGTGCCATCTCAGACCATTAACAATGTTCTGTATGTATGAAGAGCTAATGCTCACCCATTTTCCCCCATTCCATCTTTTCTAGTCTTTGACGTTGTGAGTGAATGTGCAGCTTTTTCATTGAGCTCAGCGAAGTCTTTGAAATCACTCAGCCAGCTAGCTAAAGCTCATACTGTCAGCATATTGGGCTTGGTGGTTTACTGGATGCTATATTTTCATATTTCCCATAAAATAAAACTGGAGAGCACATGTGAATAGACTGGTTCTGTGTTGTACATGTTGTAAATTACTCCGGAGTCAGTCGCTACTTCAAACCAACCACTTTTTTGAAGTCTGTTCCAGAGCTTTAAATTGTGTGTGTTCCTAATAAAAAGCAAGCAAAAAAAAGGCACTTTAGTTACTGCGTGTGTTGAAATATCTGACACACACAAACACACATGGACTTGGTCTGTCAGATTCATGGAACAAGTATGAGCAGAATGGCAGAACTGGCAGCCAACTGTTTTTGGTTGTGCCGTCATTCAAGACAGACATCCTGTAAAGGGGAGACCAAAGCTTGTAAAGCTAATTTATTTTGTCACTGGCTCTGTCTCCTGCTCACTCTCTCTCCCTCTCTCAATCTGTATCAGTCTATATTTATTCCTTTACTTTTCCTGCCTCCCTCCCACACTCTTAGTCATTCCTCCCTGCCTCTCAGTTTCTCCCTCTATAAATTGTTTTTCATTTGGCTGGGTACTAAAGTTGGTGCGCTTGGTATAATTTAAGTGCTTTTGGAAAGAGTTGAATCTGTGTGTACTAGAGGAGTCGTCTCGAAGTGTGTGCAGGGAATGATCACAGAGTGGTGGCATAAAACAGTGGTGCGTGCGTCATATCTATCAAAACTGTGATCTCAGCTTGTGAAAGAAGTCTCGCTATAAACAAATCAAGAAATTGAATTTCAATCAAAGGAGGAGGACAGTTTGGAAATAAACTGTGACTTAAATGTTTTAAATCTATTTAAATGTATTCGCCTTTGGTTTAATGCTGTATTGCCATGGTGACCAAAGTGTGGAATTTCAGAATGACTGCTCCTCTTTTCAGCTGAACCCTCTTTTAGTGTCTTTTGCCAGAACTTGCTTTATTAGTGTTGTTTATTTGTCCAGCAAGCTGAGGGAAATCTTTTGTCTGAGTTCATTCAGTGGGTGAACTGAATGAACACTCAATGATAAATCAGTGGGTACACTGATGTTTCCATGTTTGTACTTGTCCCTTAAAAAGAATGGGTCAAACATGATCATGTGGATCTTTTTAAACAGGATAACAGGAAAACATAAGAAATCATAAATCATAATTGTTTATAAATTGAACGTCCATCATCATTATTATTATTATTATTATCATTATTATGTGAGTCAGTCCACAGCTGAGACCATTATGTTAAATCCAGCTACATGACTGATTTGGTGTCATGACCAAATGGATTAAATGTTGAGATGCAAAAATGTGGTCACATTTGTGGTCAAATCTCTGCATCATGACTTTTCTGTACTGATGCTCTGTATAACATCTGTGGTTGCAGTAATGTTGAACTACTTGTACTGAATATATACTATACCTCTGACCTTGCTTTTTGGCAGAAGCTCATTATTTTGCTTTATGTCAGGGTCTTGATTCAGGATTGGACTGCAGAAAAAAAATTCTATCCTGTTATTATATTAAGTGTATACATGTGTAAATATATTATATATAATAAGATAAACTATATAAGAAGACACCAAATGACAGTCTCTCCAGTTTCCTGCAACACTAAGCTTCACTATTCAATTCTTACACTATGAAATAGATGAAATAATAATCTAACCATCAAATCCAGAAAAAGTGGAAGAATAAGAGCTCACTTCAATTTCCTAATCCCTGCATCTCTTTTTTGCTCGCCTCAGAATGGCTACACACCACTGCACATTGCTGCCAAAAAGAACCAAATGGACATTGGGACCACACTGCTGGAGTACGGCGCCGACACCAACGCTGTGACGCGGCAAGGCATAAGCCCCATTCACCTGGCAGCGCAGGAGGGAAGCGTGGACCTGGTGTCTCTGCTGCTGACCAAGAATGCTAATGTCAACGTGTGCAATAAGGTACCTGGTACTACTCTGGTAACACTCTTAACCAAGTAGAAAAACAGTTATGCTTTTTAAACTACTTTCCAGCATCTTGTTTCCTGAGAGAGATAGTATGTTTTAGTCTGATTATGCGCTCCCACTATAACACATTTATTCGTGTGTTCCTCTCCGCCAATTCAGACCGGACTTACACCACTACACTTAGCAGCTCAGGAGGACAAGGTCAATGTTGCAGAAGTCCTTCTCAACCACGGGGCTGATGTCAACCCACAAACAAAGGTAAGGCTTTCTCCGATAGTATGCACACTGTAGATAAACACAAAGTTTGATGCATAATCTTTCATTTACATGCTTCATTGACTTTGCTGCATATGTTTTTCTCTCTAATTGAACTGTACTTTCCTGTATAGTTTCACTGTATAAATGGCATCGGAAAAATACTCACACACTCGGGCACACACACACACACACGCATTTGTCCAGAATCATCTCAGGTGCTACATAAATAAAGGATTGATACCTGAGTGGAAGGTGTTCATGTCTTTATGGATGCACCCCACACTGCAGCAAACAAACACACACACACGCACACATAAACACGTACATACTCTAATATTCAAATAGACTTACTTACGCACATACGAGCCTCATAACAGGCTGCTCACGTTCACGTAGCTGAAGGTTGGACTTACACAAGGTTATCTTGTACGTGTGTGTGTGTGTATTTGTGCTGACAAGACAGTTGTTTACAGCGAATAGGTTATTCACTCACTGATCTCCTTCCATTACCATTATGCACTGTACTCATAATTCAGCGAGGATGTGAAATATGATGCCGTTTTGAAGTTATATTTGGAATCAGAGATAGCATGCTGAGACGCAGAAGCAAATTAATTATTTTTTCCAATATAGAACCATTTGTTTGTTCTTGCACAATCATTTTAAAAATTATTATATATTACAAAATAAACTGTAACGAAATGAGGCCTCCAGTCGGCGTATATAACTACATTATCCTCTTCTTTTGATCTGCTCGCTCCTTTCATGTCTCTTCCTCCGTCTACTTTCCTTCATGCAGATGGGTTACACTCCATTGCACGTGGCCTGTCACTATGGCAACGCAAAGATGGCAAACTTCCTGCTGCAGAACCATGCCAGAGTCAATGGCAAAACAAAGGTAGAAAAACACATGCTCACCCCACCTACACACACATATTCACACTATAACGCACAGTCTTGTATGACTGTTTTTGTGTAGATCTTCTTTTTCATACAAATGTATTATGATATTTCCTCTTTTGTCTAGAACGGGTACACTCCTCTACACCAGGCAGCTCAGCAGGGCCACACCCACATCATCAACCTGCTGCTTCAGCACGGGGCCTCAGCCAACGAGCTCACCGTGGTCAGTGCACAAACACACTGGCACAGACACACACACACACACACACAAACACTCCAATAGAGCTGAATACTCTCTGTGTTTTCTGTGCCTCCTGCTGTGAATAACTTCCTGCTGGTCTGTCACTGGTCAGAATGGGAACACTGCCCTGTCCATCGCCTGCCGTCTTGGGTACATCTCTGTTGTGGACACTCTGAGGCCCATGACAGATGAAAACCTGACCGCAATGGTGAGACACTCTCCTCCTGTCATCTTCCATGCATCTTATATGGTTAAATACACACAAACTTTATCACATTTCCGATAAGTTTCAAATTAATGAAGTCGTTTAAGAATATTTTCTATAGGTTGGAAATAGGTTAGATATTAGACACAGTACAATTTAAAATATTAATAAAATATTTTTAGCATGTTTATCATTGAATAGTCCATACTATATGTTTTGAATGTTTCAGCACTTTTATAAACCTTGCATCATTTACTAATTTTCACATTATAAGTGTTTAATAAGTGTTTGGTTTTTTGCATGTTAATGCTGTTGCAAGCACAGTCTGTTATTTTGAAGTTCTCCTTAGTGATGCATTTAAGGATTCTCTGACATCTAAGATTTACCTAAAGCTTTACTATCTGGAGCTTGGGATATGATTTAGAAAACAGTCTGCAGTAAAACCACTAGAGGATCCTTACTGAGCAGAACTTGTGTGACTGACTCCTTGCCCAAATTAAAGCTTGGCCAGTCAGCCAGCAGCCTACTGTGAGTGGAGTCAGTGTGTGAATCCTGCAAATAAGCCAGCAAGTCATTCAGTCAGTCTCACTGTGTCACATGTGTGAAGTTATCCTGATTAAGAGAGAGAGAGACAGGGCTTAGATTGGAGCTTAAGGTTTCTCCTCAAATAGCCCAGGTCACTAACAGCGATCTGATCCACACACGTGTCTGAGAGAAAGAGGGGGAGGGAGATGGGTGTGAAAATGGGAAAGAAAGAGAGGCAGTAGGGTGATGAAGAGGTGAGAGGGACATTGAGTGAAGAGATGGAATGAGAGGTCACTTAGGATCCTGCGCAATCAGCAGCAAAGTGTATTAGTCATAACTGAAGTAACTGCAAGATCAAGGTCATTTCTATACACCTTTGTGTGATTGATCTATTGTTCACTGTGCAGAAGCCTCAGCTGTTGTTTTATGTCTCTATTGAACTATCTACAGCCTGTGGGACCTTTGCCGGTCAATAATGTGGGGTAAAATGGCCTTCGAACATACAGTATCATTACTTCTTACTGTGACGGAGGTCACGGCTAAGATTAGAAATAAATGTGAAGGTCCCACTTCAGTTGAGATGTAAATGCTGAACTTGGCATTAAATGACCAAGCGATGTCTCTATTTAATGAGTTTCAGGTGATATAACACCTTCACAATGGTTAAGCTTTAAGATATACTCGTGATTTAGTTTGTGGCAAATGTTAGCACCCCTAAATCCCTGTATATTTCTCTCAGCTCAGTTCTGCTTTTGTGAAGGTTATTTCAAAATGTCAGCTGGTAGGGTCTTTGAGGATTTATGGCATTATTGGATGCTTTAACAATATCAGGAAGCATGCTTTTTTATGGTTTAGGATGTCAAGGTGTGTAAACAGGCAGCAAACAGGCAAGACAATGCTTATGTCATCTAATAGTATTGACAACCAGCTAAAATGATCATTTGATATATTATGAAAGGACAATAATATCCTCAAACACCTGCTCATCTTTTCCATTTGGAACTGGTTTAAAATTTCAGGGATCTTTCCAGATATAGATATGTTTTAACTTTGGCAAAGCTGGATTGTTCAGTTGTCTTCTTTTCACATTCACAGAGCGCTTCAGAAAAACACAAAATTAACGTCCCAGAGACCATGAATGAGTTCCTGGACATGTCAGACGATGAAGGTATGTAAAGAATGCTAAAAGTTGTTCTTCTTTCACATAATTTTTTATCCATTGAGTACTAAAATTTAATTAATAGACATTTGTAAACTGTTGTGACTTGACTTGAGTAAAAAATGTGATCAATACACTGCATGATTTCTATACACTTATGACTGTGTGCTATGTCATGTTCCTAATAACACAGTCCGGGCCAATGTGCCAGAAATTCTCAATGAGGAGTCTTTTTCAGATGTTGATGAAGGTATTTGTCACCAATTTGCCTCCACCATCCTGTTTTTTGTGCACGCTTCAGCAGAACTCACCTGCCTTGTTGAAGAGCTAACCATCAAGTCCTTGCTATGCTACTATTCAGCTTTGCTGTTCATTTTCCATTAAAAAAGTCTCCAGGAAAAATCATAATAATAATAATAATAATTTCCACTTACACAGACTGCTGTGGTTATGCACTTTCCTTTTTCAGCTGTGAATCAGACAGATATCCTATTGATGTCAAGTTACTCTTATATCAAGAGCCAATTAGAGGGTCAGTCAGAGCAGATATTCTAGTTTGTTATTGTTATTGTATTTATTTTCCATCATCAGACAGAGAATAAAGTCTCAGCTATTTCCATTTTGTCCAAGAAATATATCAGCGAACATTAAATATTGAACAGTTTTATTAATCTGGTTTGGTTTTCTGTCAGGTTTGAGTGTCCTGTTTTTGTTCCCAAACAGACACTGCTGATGTTATTTTCACTGCAACTTAAAAACACATTTGTTATTTTTAACTATACTCGCACACCATCCGTCTCAAGGATACTGCGTGATTCTCCTCATCAAAGATACATCGTGAAGTGTCATCTCAACTTCAACCCTGCAATCTCAGGAGTTGCTGTGAGAAAATGAAAACGAGGTCAATGTGACTCACTCTTATATTTCAGACGACAGCCTATGAAGAGACAGGCGTACATTGAATTAAATAATCTTGTCCTACTGTATATGAGCCTTGATAAATAACATAACATCAATGATGTCATAGCAGACAAATAGCTGCTGTAGCTCTGCAGACCCAAATAGCACTGCCAAGTTTATGGTACAAGTCACATTGTTTGAGGCTGCCCACTCCAGTCTTCTGTCCTTTGTTTTGGAACCACAGAGTCAACAGGCCTGTAAAATTGATGAGCTTGTTCATGGGCTGTTGCTTAGGGGACAGCCGGGGAGGGGTGTGGAGTTTCTATGTCAGGTGATACAGCCAGACTCAACAAGTTGCGTGCACACACATATCAGGTTATAATGGATGAGTTTTTACTGTAGCTGTATGATGAACATCCTCATTGTCATATGATTCAGTGTGTTATCACTACCGCGCAGGATTTATAAATAAGCGTATCCATGGTCTCATATACTCCACATAAACTGTTTATACTGTGTGCATAATTCATCAGCATTGTACTTGTGCAGCACGGCCTTGATATTCCCTTTGACCAACAGAAGTAGCACTAGAGTGGCTTCAGTTAGCTGTGTGTGTGTGTGTGTGTGTGTGAAAGAAGGAGTTAGAGGAAGTTAAGTTTCCACATCTCTCTTTAATCCTACATGAGTGGAAGTCAATCCTATTAGGCTGTAGGTTGGAGTGGTTGTAACTGGTTACTCCTGGTCTCTGGCTGTGTACGTGTATGTGTATGTGTGGCCTGCCTCTGCAATCACACGCTCATCTCATGCTTTCTATAGACTACTATAGCCACTAATTGTCTCATCTTTAGAGAACTTAACTCCTTGTGCTCTGCTGTCAGAGTGTCTCCATAATCCCTATAGCACTGGCCTCACAGGATATTATTACTACAGTTGGTGTATGTATGCTGAAGGTCTTTAACTGTCAAACACCTCTTGCATAATTGTTTTAAACTCACTTGTTCTTGTGCAAGTTTTAGCCACTGCGTGCAACATGTAGAAAGGAAGAACTAGACAGAGATATGTTGCTCAAGATTCTTTTTAATGGCAAAATGATGCCTGCTGTGGTTATTTCATCATTATTTTAAGCCCCACTCCCAGTGCTTTGACCTATAGCCAGACTCCCTCAATGACTTACACCACAGAGAAAGAAAAAGGCAGGAGGAGTATTCAGTGAGAGTTTTCTTCTTCTCTCCGTCACTGTCTCCTACACTGAGGTTCCCAAGCATTTGGCCTGTCAGCTGACTGTGCTCTCCACAGAGCGGCGGCCCCTGTTGGCTCTCTTCAGTTTGTTGTTGGATGCTGTTGAGCCAGAGAGCACCGATACTTTCTCTCTGTAAATCCAATGAGATGAGCTTTTTTTGAGCCGCCTGCAGCAGAATTAACCCCGGTGTGGCCGCAGACGTCAGATGGCTCGGACTCGGACCGCTTCTGCTCAGCAATGTGCACTGTTTTGGAGCAAGGGGACCTAAAACTTTGAGTTTGAGTTGTATTTGTTTGCGGAGAGGTAGAGCGGCAGAGATGTGCGCACCAGCTAAAAAAACGCGCAAGTTAGAGTGGAGTTAAGTGCGTGGGGTGAAGAGAGGGCAACATTTTCCATCAGCACCAGAAGCACTGAATGGACCACTTGATAGTCTTCACCTCACACTGGATTTACTTTTAATCCTGGGAACGTTTTGTGGAGCTTTAGACAAAAACAAACAAACAAAAAAAGAATAGAAATAACACAGAAGAAGAGTTGTGATCAATATGGCTGCGTTAGAGAAAGGTAAGTCGTTAAAGCATCAGAGGAAGAAGTTTGAATGGCCGGTGTTAGAGTTTGTAAAAAAGCCGCAGAGGATCGACCGACACACAGAAAGTGATGTCATTATATAAGAGCCGATGGGAAATTGTGTCATTATTATTTTCCTGTTTTGTTGTTTTTAGTTTTCCACCAGAGTATGACAGAGATTGATGGTAATTCACTCAGTCTTTTGTATCTGCGGAGAAAGAACGAATGTTTGATAAAGATGCTTCAAGTTCAAACTATACAATAGAAAGTGTGTGTGTGTGTGTGTGTGTGTGTGTGGTGTTTCTGTGCTTGTGTGTTTGTGTGTGTGTGTGTGTGTGTGTCGGCAGTGTGATGTGTGTGGTTGTTTTTCATGAGCTTTTGAATGAGGACGGTGATACATTATTACAGCAGCAGGGAGCCGATTGTTTTCCAGTGTTGTCAAGTTGGACAGACACAGCTTAACAAAACACAGGAAGTTGGGTGATCAAAGCTACCATCAGAATAAAAGCATGAAGTAAGCGTCAGGAAAACAACCTGTCTTTAATGTGTGTCAGTTTTCTTGAGTGGATATAAGTTTTGTAACTTATTGACTGATGGAAAAAGTGGTGTATTGTGCTGACAATTATTTGCTCTTGGTGTTAGTTTGTACCCTCACTCCATTAACGTTATGCTGAATAGAATACCAAAATGTTCAAAGCCCAGTCTCTTTTCAAAGTCATTTTGTACATAGATAAGAACGATACAACCAAAATTACAGAAGATAGAGTAGAGTAGATCTTATTCCCATCCCCGCAAAGGGAAAATTTGGGCTCGTCAATAGACAGCCAAGAAAATGTAACATCACAACATAAAAATACAATAGAATAAAATACAACATAGAATAAAATACTTAGATAGGAAAGATAAAAAAGAATAAATACGGAAGGTAAAGAGGTGCAAAAAGAGTTAAGAACTACTAGGGAATTAATACAGTAATGAATAGACTTAGATAGCTAATAGATAATTAGCTGATTTATTTCACAACAATGTTTCATGCCTGTTTATGTGAAAGTGTTTTACCACACAGAGCAACTGCATATTACTTTTCTATAGTCCTAGACTACTGTTGTAGACTGTGGAAGTTGTGACAGAAGTTGATCCTTTTTGCAGTAAGATGGTGGGATGTAAATCATGATTATGGCAGAAAAACCTGATGAAAGCATATTAATGCAACCATGGCTACAATAGTCCCCTTTAGTGAATATTTAGTTTCCTAATGTACTTTTAGAGAGTTGATTCGGTCACGTGGTTCCATGACTGTTGAACAGTAGGTCGCTGGCTGCTCTCATTGTCTCCGGGAAAAAGTTTGACGACTGTGAAACCCTTTCAGCCTCCTGGTTTTATTTTGAAATCTGACACCGGAAACGCCCACTTTTAATGCCATGTAACTTGACAGTGGTGCTGCTGTCTGATCGGAGTGCGGCAGTATTGAAGGTAGGGGGAGGGGCTGCGGTGAAGGAGCACAGTGTTGCAGGCAGGACAGAGCCGGACATGAGGGAGAAGGGGAAACACGGTAGCCGCTCCGCCGGCTTCGTTGACCGGCGTGTCATCGTCCACCGGTCCGCCGATCGAGGTGCGATGCGGTTCTAGACTTTCTGCTTATTCTCTTGCTTATTGTGCTGCGGCTTTGGTTTCTGTTAAAGCCTTCTGCTGCGCTCTGTTTCTGGCTGTTGTGAAAGGGAGCTGCGTTTGGTTTTACAGGAGAGCTCCAGATATACCGCAAAGTGGCTCTACTGCTGCCTCTGATGGCATTTCCCTATTAAATAAAAAAAATGAATGGTGTCTAACCTCTAAAACAGTCAGGCATCGGCGCTGCTCTGTGTTGCAGCTTTATCTTGTTGTGCCACTGTCAGATGAATAGACAGAAAGAAAAGTTGCAGGGGGGCTATGCAGTTGCAGTGAGGCATGCTGGGTTTAACGACAGAGTGGTGTTGATAAATGATCCGAGGCCTCCTCTAAGTACCATGATCAAATAAGTGAGGGCTTGTTTTTCTTCCTGAGGTGCCGCATCGCATCTCGGATCCCGGATTGGCTTTTGAAGTTTAACAGGAGGATTTTTATGATTTCCCCCCCCACCAGGTGAGGATGCGATGACCGGGGACACGGACAAATACTTGCGGCCTCAGGACCTCAAAGAGCTGGGGGACGACTCTCTCCCTCAGGAGGGGTACATGGGTTTCAGCATAGGAGCTCGCTCAGCCAGGTAAGCGCCTGTCCTTTATATTAGATAGGAATGAAAACCACTGATTTACTGTGGTGCAGTGGGTCAACTATTGGTCCAGCTTGTCCTTAGAATAATGTGGCCAGATGGTTGACACTGATTGAAGTTTGTGACATTATATTTTGCTGTTGATGTTGTGTTTGTTATACACACATTTAAATATCTGATATGAGATGAGTAGGTTTTCTAGATTGTATAGTGGATGTTAGACTGGAACAGGTTATATAATGTACATCCCCTCCAACACACACACACACTCNNCACACACTCACATTCACACACACAAAAACAGAATAATGGAAATCGCCAGAGAAAGCAGCTGGAAAGTTGCCATCTAATGATTCAACCTGACATAATGATTCAGCGTTTTGTGTGGCCTCATTCAAACCCAGGCAAAGATTACAAATGGCCCATAGTATGTAACACAAGCGATATAAGCCCTATCTTTGAACTTCTCGGTGAACAGCTGCACATCAGGATTTGGCACAGGCCTAACCACAGTTTCAAATAGTGGACAAAGTATGTAGTGGAAAACTGGCACGCTCCAGTGAAAACACATCAGCGGCACACAGGACAAATGCCGTGCAGCTCCAGAGTGTATTGTAGCCGTACTAACAGATGGCAGATGCGCTGTGATGGTTGGATTGATAAAAACAACTACAGTAACTGTGACAGGAAGCTGCTTACATCAGCGGGCCACAGCTAACAAGGGAAACACTGAATTAGACTGAGAGATTCCATGTAAACAAGTTTGTTTGTGCATGGGTTGATATTGGAAAGAGTTTGGAAAGAGGTAATGCATTAGATGATGTGATTTTTTTGTTAGCTGTTTAAAATATTCAGAGGTTGGTGACAACATTTGAGAGATTGAGTTTTTATTTATTTTCTTTAACTGCTGTTTTTTTTACTACTGTTAACAGTTTATTGATGCTTACTACAAGTAAAGTTAATATTTATTTTGTAAACATTTTACTGATGCTTTTCTGTTATTCCATATGAAGTAGAAGAACAGGTTCTTTAGCTGTATCTTTGCAGAGCTGTGAATGTAATGCTTTGAAATACTGTATTTTATTGATCAATGAATGTATGATGCTGAGCAAATTCTTTGCTTTTCCTTACCTTTCTGTTTATGACATCGACATTGCATGGTTTGCTTATTGACTGGGCTGCACACACACACACACACACAAGCAAACACTTGCAAAAACCTAGAAACACTTGTGCCTAGTCGCAGTGTACAACCATGCAAAAGCACAGCATCAATGTCATATGGGGGAAAAAAAGAAAGCCACATCATGCTTGAATGTCTTCAAAATGCTTTGCTTTTCACTCTACTATTTTGTTCTTTTCCTTGTTTTCCTGCACCCTTTCCCTCATTCTAGCCCTAGAATCAGGTAAGAAAAGAGTAGTAGTTGTAGTGGGAGTAGACAACATCAGCTGTGAATGGTGTCCCTCCTTTGTGACCCTTTAAACTACTGTTTAACCCCAACACTTCACCCATAACACCGCTAACCCAAACCACGAGTCCTCCATCATACATTGGTGTCATCCAGTGTTGTCGTTTTTCTGTTCGTGGTAGCAGATTTGTCACTTCGTTGCCGTCACGTGTTGTACTTTGGGATCATCACCATTCACCTCGTTTTCTCGTCTGTCTAAGAAAATCATCTGCATAATGGAAAGTATTTATTTTTTGATGCAGGTTTGGGGCAGTCTTGCTGAAATGAGAAAATAAAAGCCACACAGTCTTTTCTTCAGTTTGAGTTTTGTGGATTAATCCCCTAATTTGTTGATGTGGCTTTTTACCAAGTGGCAAGTTATCTATATCTTTGTAGTGCCACTGAGTGTAACTTCCAGGGATCAAACACATCACTTTATTTATAATCCCTTGAATCCTCCCTATTTATATGTTAGTAATTGGGGATGTCCCAAGATTATTCAGGATGATTCTGGATGTTAAATCATGGTTTGCAGAGATGGAAACTTAACTGTGATCCCCCACATAGATCAAGGACAAACACTCGGTCACATACGCAGATGCATACAACACTCACATTGATGCCCAATGACTCAAACAATGTCTCTTTGAGACCACACAGATGCCTTCCTAAACGTAGGACCACTGGTATACACATGGAGATGCAAGACAAAAAAACAAGTTGTTTGGCTAATGGGGAGTGTAGTTTACTGCAAGGAAGACTTATTGATTAACAGTGAAATGAATGGAGTGGTGTGGAGAAAGGAAGGGAGGTGACAGAGAACGATGATGGTAAGGGGAAAGCAGCAAGGTAGAGATAAAGTGAAAAAAGTCGTGGCAGCGTGACTCTAAAATGAAGAGATAATGAGACAGCGTTATAAAGGAGAGTGCTGCTAGGTGCCATGACATGCAGAAATAGATGCAGGAAACACAGAAGGAAATGGAAAAGCACGTATGTGTAGGAAGGAGAGGAGGATGGACAGAATGAGAAAGAGGAGGAAGCTGTGAAGAACAAACAGAGTACAGCTGGGAGCGGATGGGGGGGGGGTCGTAGCGCGGTGCTGCCATGCCAGCAAGTCCATTCAGGCCGTACAGAGTTGCTTGGTAACTTTGATGGTGGGGTAGGCAGGCTGTGCTGAATAAAGGGCTTCTCTCTGTGCTGAATAGTGTGCCCACTCAAACACGCTGAGCTCTGCATTTTCTCCCCCTCGGCTCTCTCCCGTTCTCACCCCTCCGTGCTCACACACAGGACACATCAATACACATATACAGTAACAGAGTTGTCGGTTTCTTCCCTGGGATTGCATCTTTTTGCAACCCCTTTATAGTGCGCAAATGCATACGAAAACACACTCATTATATACATTATTTATGTGCTTACACACTCAAGTGCACATATTTGAAGTGACTGCGTGTTCACGCAGACATTTTGGTTCTTCTGTGCTGATCAAATTATTGTAGCAAAAAAAAAAACCCTGAAAGGAGTCTACAGCACTGCATTGAGCCTGAGAGGCTGCAAAAATAGGCACACGTCACCACACACACAGCCATAAAGCAGACTGCAGCAAGACAGATAGAAAAGACCAGCTTCCCTTTTGTGTTTTGCAGCTCTGAAACAGGTCTAGGTCAGCTGCTAATCTTAGACTAAAGCAACGTCAGAACAGTTTGAGTAAATCTTTTGAGTGAATCTTATTTCTGTTACTGTCGGTAAAAGATCTGCACGGAGACTTCTTGTGATTTAAAGACTCTCACTTGCCAGCCAGGTGCAAATACATACAGTCCACTAACCTGTCTTATTCCATCATTTAGACACATTTAGTTACATCTGTGTTCATAATGCACACCTACCACACCTTCATATAGAAATGATCTAGCAAACGTCTGTTTCCTTTCAGTTAGTTCTCTTTCCCTCTATCTCTCAATGCAAACAAACTGACCTCACTCTCATTTCCATCTCTGAATACCTGCTGCAGTATCTGATCCTTGTTCCACTGCGGGCTCTTCCGCCTCACTCTATTTTCCACTTATTACTTTTGGACTCTCTCTGTCCAGTAAAAAAAAAAAACTGGTTCCCTGGAGGTTGCATGTAGTAATGGATTCCTTGCTTTTTGTTTTATGCCGTGTTCCCCTGCCCATCACTTGTTGTTGCCCGTGGCACTGGGTTGCCTGGTAACATGTAGCCTCCGCTCCTTCAGTTCGGATAGGTCCAACACACTCAACCGGAGCTCCTTCGCACGGGACAGTATGATGATTGAAGAGATTCTGGCCCCCACAAAGGACACGGTAAGATCCATTTTCTTGTCTTCCTCATGATCTTTTGTTTAGTTTCTCCTCTTTTCTTGGCCCTTTTTCACCTTATATACACAACCTTTTTCTCTTTCTCTCAGTCTCCAATTACTTTTTCCTTCCTTGGTACCTTTAACTGTCTTGTTGTTAGCTGTTTTTCAAGCTTTAGCTTCAGCTGTCTTTCTGTCAAGGGCCTGGTGAAAACACAGGCTGGGTAGAATTGAAGCAGGGAGCAAGGTAGCTTTACTTGTCTTGCACAAAGGTCATAACAGAAGCAGTGCTGATGCCATGCTTGCTTTCGTCAAAGTGCTGAGGGTGAGTGTATAGCACCTTGACGAAGAGTTTATTCAAACTTAAGGGCTTACGGAGGCCCCCCTTTCCTTTCTCATGGAAAAACACAGTGCTCTGCAGAGCTCGTCTCGCCTGTCCAGCGCTTGTTTTGGTGGCCAGGAGCAAAAACAGAACTGTAACCACCTACGTTATAAACAATATAACCCCCCAAATGACAACATCACCCAAGATCTCAAACTACACATGGCCAAAATATGCACTTACCTCCACTATCTTCTTTTACAAAATAAGCAAACGTGTTTGACTTCCAAAGAGATTCCCCATTAAATCTACATCTAATTGAATATACATGAGGTCACATCATGTTGATACATAGGATATATGAAGTCAACAAGATCAACTACGATCTACAGTGGGAGTGCTCGAATTTAGATGCCTAAATCATTGGACCGTCTCATCTTTGCAGAAATAAGATCATATGTTTTTGGGTGGAAATTGGATCCTTTAGTGAAACAGTATCATAAATGAATTTGTCTGGACCACACAGTGCCCTCAGTGTCATTTCTGAACTGTCTCTCTTCTCCCCTAAGCTTCAGAGTGTCTGTAAAGACATTTCCTACTTGGTTGACCCACTCAATAAGGTATAAAGTGTTCATGGGTGACTCATTAGTCAGTTTTTTTTCTGTCACAGTGGTTCAGCTCCCATTTCTCATTTCTCATGAGTTTTGGTCTTTTTATATTTGTTTTTTCTTTCGGTCTATGCCATTCTCATCTCAATCATTAGTACTGTGTTTAGTGAATTACCGTTCCCATGCTACTTTATGAGTTCTCACGATTCGGTGTTCACATATATAACGATTTAGTAAAGCTGATTTCCAGTATGTAGCTTTTTAATGTTGCACGTTTATGTGTATTGCCACTGCAGAGTTATAGCAGTGTATTTACTGTGCTATTTATTGTGTCTTTTTGTGCTGATTGTGTTGAGACTTTGGATAAGGATGACACAATTTGTTGAAACATGAATCAAGAAAGTGTAAATGTTAATAGCTCATTGCTCCATACCATGCATGACTTAAGGGTTGTGAAAAAAAGTCTATGTACTGATGAATAATTAGCTAATAAGAACCTCTTTCCTTCCATTCACTATTTCCTGTATGTCCTTTATTCTGTTTTTCTCACTGATTTATCTGCTTTCGATCTGTCATCTCCTCCATCTTGATGTTATTCGTTTTCATCCTCTTTGTTCTTCTCACCCCTCGTTTACCTTCGTCTTTTTTCACCTCAATCTCTATCTGCATTTCCTCCCGCTCTTAAATCTTCTCTTTCTTTGTCTTGTCTCTTCACCTCTGTCTTTGGATCCTCTTCTCTCAGCACCTGGCCGTGACCAGAGACTACAGCTCGGAGTGTATGCGCCGCTACAGCTGGACTCCGGACACCATGGACCACAGCCACAACACTGTGTCCAGCCCCATTCACTCTGGGTAAGAACTGCTGTACTGCCTCATCAGATCTGTCAAGACAGATTTTACCAGCATACACACAAGCACAATGTGCATGTACATTCACATAACTGTTGAAGTTATCACACATTTTATATGCTCACTGCACACAACTGTTGTACTGTCTTTTGTTGTCTCCCTAAGAGTCAATATTCAGCAAACCCTGCAGCACTGATGCAGATAAGGTGCAAGGCTGTGGGATTTCTGCAGTGCTGCTACTGTACACATGGCATTATAACAACAAAAGACACAGCTCATCCTGTAAAGCTCTCATATCATACCATAAGTCTGGAGACATGGCCTAGAAGTCACCCCCCACGCTCAATGACGTGCTCTTTTTCTATCATCACAGAAACAAAGTACAGACTCATGACTCCTGTGTTTCATTTGGCTAAACTGATAAGATTTTGCTCTCAACGTCATTCTCATACTTTGAATATATGACGTTGTAAAACTGTTAAGGTCTGCTCTAAGTAAACTGTTCTGCCTTTGCACAGAACTGAATGCATTCTTTCTTTGGTGTTATGCTCATAAATTAAGTACCAGGATCTGTCTTGTGCAGTTATGGTTCTGTATCCCAATTTTTACTCATGATTATGCCTTGTGTATTATTTTGTACATTGTCATTATGTCCTCAGTGTGTCTTATGTTTTCTGTTTGTTTGTTTCCCTTGTTTTTCCATCCCTGTAGTTTTTAATCTTTCTTTCATCTCTAGTAGTTATTACAGATCCCAACAGTGATTGTGAAACATTGATACTAAAACTAGGTTCTGGGGGTTTGCCTCCTGCATTGCCTCCATGTGTTTATTTTGCAGCTTCTCCTCCCCGCTCCCTCAGTATGACTCCAGGTGATGACTGAGCTCGCTGCTTTCACCAATGATGCCGCAGTGATATCACTCACTCCTCCACCTCTGTTTCCCCTCTCACCTCTTCTCTTCTTAGCCCTTCTCTCCTCCTCCAGTTTGTGCTCATCTCATCCGTGTGGTCTGGTGTTTCATTTGCACTGCCTAGATATTAGAAGTGTGTCGTCAACGTGTTTGGAAGTCTTTCATTGATGTGCCATCTTTCTTTCTCTCACAGTGCACATTAAAAATAAATCTTCCTCAACAACATTTGCAACATACAGTATAGAAAAAGCAAAAAGAGAGTACATAACACAACACATGTAGTGACAAGGCATAAGGACTGCTCATGAAATGTGCATAAACAGAGTTTTTATTTGCTAACACCCGACTCCATCCTCACTCTCTACAATAATGATATTAATGGGATGCCAAAAAGTGGGACATACACATATTAATTACATTAACCCTATCTTGGTGAAACATCTGTGGAGGTGTTTAATATTTGATCACTGAATGCTGCTTTAGAGGAACTGAAACCTTGACAATAGTCTCACCTTCAGCCTCAGAACTGGAAACTAAACTTTCTGCAACCCTGTTTAGTTTCAGACGGTTTAATGTTCTATTTTGAGGCAGGCGAAGGCGACACTGCCAACTTTCAGAACTCAAAGCATCTTTTTTTCCTTCTTTCTATCGTTCTGTCTCTTGCTCTTTCTCTATGTTATTTTCTCTCTTTTCCTTACTTTGTTTGGGTGTACGGTGATCACAGCATGGGAATCCTTTCACTTTTGTCCGTGGTATGGCTTCTGTCTATCTTTCTCCTGTCTATGGTTTATCGTCCTCTAACATTGTTCTTTTTCATCGTGCAGGTTCTTGGTCAGCTTCATGGTGGATGCCCGCGGTGGTTCAATGAGAGGAAGCCGCCACAATGGCATGCGCATCATCATCCCTCCCAGGAAGTGCACAGCGCCCACACGCATCACCTGCCGCCTGGCCAAAAGGCATAAGCTGGCCTACCCCCCACCCATGGTGGAGGGAGAGGGGCTGGTCAGCCGGCTGGTGGAAGTCGGACCAGCTGGGGCTCAGTTCCTCGGGTAGGATACTTGGACCTTCTTTTTCCTGTGTTGAGTTGCAGTTTTCAGCAGACAAGGGGACAAATCAAAGGGAATATTGTCTAATATCTACTTAAAATATCATGACTCAGAGAATTATTATGGATTGCCAGTGCAGCTAATTAACCAGTAATTATGACTGAACCAAAGAGACCTTCTCAGCCGCCCTAAAGTTTATGGTTTCATCGACCGATTTCCTCACACTGTGTTTTATTGTGTTGTAATTTCACTTTCAGTCCTGTGATTGTGGAGATTCCTCATTTTGGTTCCATGCGGGGAAAAGAGAGGGAGCTGATTGTTTTGAGGAGTGACAATGGTGACACATGGAAGGAGCACCAGTCTGACTCCAGACTAGAAGACCTCACTGATCTGCTTACTGGAATGGATGAAGGTAAAAGAAAGGTTAACGAAAGTTACAGTTAGTATATTTAAATAGTTAGTTCAGAGTTGTCCGCAATATGACTGACAGGTTGACGGTGAACTGAACTACTTAGGAAAACTATGTAACCCAAGCCAATATATACATATGGTGACCTAGAAAATCTTTCACTCCTGTTTTTCTTTGTTACTCAATCTGTTCAGCCTATTTAGTGTCCTATTTTGTTGTGACACTGACCAAAATGCCATACCTCAATAGCACCTAACATTTTAATGCATTCATAATTTCAGAATTTATATTTAATGACTTCTTAGGAAACAGACAGCAACCATTTAATGTTGCGTTAAGTCACATTTATAAAGGTAATATTTTCTGTCACAGAGCTGGACAGTCCTGCCGAGTTGGAGAAGAAGCGCATTTGCCGCATTGTCACCAGAGATTTTCCTCAGTATTTTGCTGTGGTGTCGCGGATCAAGCAGGAGTCTAACCACATGGGTCCTGACGGAGGCTTACTGTCCAGCAGCACTGTGCCCATGGTCCAGGCCTCGTTCCCACAAGGGGCTCTCACCAAGAGGATCCGTGTTGGCCTGCAGGTACAGCTCAAGTTTAATCTGTGTCATGACTCTGCTTTTTTTGTTGCAAGTGCTGTACATTGACTTATTATTTATTTATACCTGACCTATTTTTTGTAGAATATTTGAATCCACCTCAACAGGAAAGTTCAGGAAAAGTTTTAATAAACAGAAGTTTCATTAACAAACAAACATTGAGTCTGTTTCTCCGTCTTCCTGTGTTTGTGTTTAGGCCCAGCCTGTACCAGATGACATGGTGAGAGCAGTCCTTGGGAACAGAGCCACCTTCAGCCCCATCGTCACTGTGGAGCCCAGGAGGAGGAAGTTCCATAAGCCGATCACTATGACAATCCCTGTCCCACCTAGATCGGCAGAAGGCCATCCCAGCGGCCACCGAGGCGACTCTGCACCCTGCCTGCGTTTGCTCTGCAGCATCACAGGTGAGTAGACTATAGATAACTAGAGCATGACAACACTATACCACTATCCAAACTGCTTCTGCAGGACTAGCTTTGATTTTAAGTTATTTCATACAAAAAGTCATTGTATCCTTTGATGTTAATGTTATTTGTAACACTAGTGTTTTTCCATTTAATATACATAACACAGATTTAGTAACTCACCATGATTTAAATAGCCATGGGCACATCAGGCCCAATTTGTGGTCAAAAGCTACTGGTCAATAGAGGGGAGATAAAGAATTAATGAGGACTGTGAAAGCTAAAACACTGACTAGGCTAGAAAGGCAGTGAGCTCATCTTTTGGCCCCTGTTCCATACAGGAGGGACGTCTCCTGCCCAATGGGAGGACATCACCGGTACCACACCACTGTCCTTTGTAACTGATTGCGTCTCCTTCACCACAAATGTGTCGGCCAGGTGAGATACGTACACACAAACATAAACACACACACAACAGAACACAGTTGAAGATAACAAAGACACAAATGGGAGTATTTTTAATGCCACATAGTAAAGTTTTAATGCCTTTTCTTTTTCATATAATTGTAAACGGAGTATCTTTGTGTCGTACAAAAAAAGAGATTTGAAGATGTCTTCTTGAGCTTTTCGGAAAACATTTTTTATAGACTAAACAATAAATGAATTACATATAGTATAGTCAGTTTGATGGGAAACTATAAAAACATTAATATATAAAATATTTTTACAAAAATCTATAGGGAATTAAAATGGGCCAAACATTTTCCATTTGTATGAATAAAGCATTTTATTGATCTATTTGGCTCCCTATTGTGTCCTCGTAAAAAGTCTTGTTTCTCTTATTCTCCTTGTGTGTTAAGCAGAAAAGCAGTTTCCAATAGCTAGAAATTAAAAGCTTTATGTTGGTCCTACCTAGAGAAACATTGATTAGACGATACAACAGATAAATCCAAGAAATTTTAAATATCTGTATAATACATCTCAGTATTCCTGAAAATGGGGACAGTGCAGAACCATGAAGCAATGAGAAGTCGGCAGTGAATCCCAAAATCTAGCACAAGAGGAAAAAGTCAAAATACTCATTTTTACTGTCTCACAACATCTCCTTTTTTCTGATCATCTAGTTCTAACACATGGCTGACTTTAACTTATTAATTGAATTAATTAAGTCACTTGATAGTAGTTTTTTTCTCCTCCTGACGCTCTCTAACACGTCCTTCCTTACACACTTACCTAAGTGGTACAAAGTCACATCAAGCTTACATTGTTGAGGCCTGCCTAGTAATAAGGCTGTTAAACTGACCTCATCAAGTAAACTTTTTGCTTACAGTACGCAAAGTCATGACTTCTCCTCCTAACTAGATTGGAATCATGTGGTGAGTGTGCAGCCTGATATTAACTGAGCACCCTTTGGTGCTCTGCAATTGGATTACTACACAGCTGTCATGTGTTCACCCTTCAGAGAAACAACCCAGGTTGTTTGATTTATTACTTAAGATGGTCACTTGCACTACAGTGTTTCAGCCCTATGAAATGTGATGAAAAAATGCCTTAAATGTGCATTGCAGGTTTAGGTTGTTGTAAATCAAATTGTTCACTTAGTTGGCTCTGAGATTCCTAATTTTCTTTTTTGTCTTTCCCCCGTCCTTTCCTCTTTCCTCCGGTCTCTCCTCCTCAGGTTCTGGCTCGCAGACTGTCACCAGATTCCTGAGACGGTGAGTCTAGCGTCTCAGTTATACCGGGAGCTGATCTGCGTGCCATACCTGGCCAAGTTTGTGGTGTTCGCTAAGATGAATGACGCTGTTGAGGCTCGACTGCGCTGCTTCTGCATGACAGACGACAAGGTGGACAAGACCCTCGAGCAGCAGGAGAACTTTGAGGAAGTGGCTCGGAGCAAAGATATTGAGGTGGGGTTGTGTGATCATGTGGACTTGCAAACACTGCCCTGCAATAAGAGAGTCTAATAAAGAACAAATGAATAAATCAATTATATTTAATTTATTTTATTTATGTTTGGTCAATGGACTCCTGCAGGTTCTCGAGGGCAAGCCTATTCATGTAGACTGCTACGGCAACCTGTCTCCTCTCACCAAAAGTGGGCAGCAGTTGGTTTTTAACTTCTACTCCTTTAAGGAAAACCGACTTCCTTTCAACGTGAAGGTATAAAGCGGATCCCCCCTATCACTTTTCTCTCTCTGCTAGCATTTACTGTCTGTGTTATTCATTCTGGTCTCCTTCGTAAATGTGCCTTGCTGATTTAATTAAGTCCGAAATTATCATCCTCTCCTAATTAGCCGACATTCATAGCAATAGCAATTTTCTTTTTCTTCATAGTCCAGTGTCATACTGTGGAATTAAGTGAAAGTGAATGTTATGATTTTCACAGATCCCATCTACACACTATAACTCAAATTTTGTCCTAGTCTTTCAACATGCACGCTGACTGACAAGTTAAATGCATCCTTAAATCTACATACTGTAGGAGATTTTCCCATTTTAGGAACATGCAATAAATTGAGGTGGAAAAAGGTGTTTTTTTTTTCACAATTGTTTGTTAAGTTCAACTTGTAATGCAGTGTTTTTGCTGTCTTCTGCAGATCAGAGATATGGGCCAGGAGCCATGCGGCCGCCTCTCCTTCCTGAGAGAGCCAAAATCCAGTAAAGGTCTTCCACAGACTGCCATATGCAATTTGAATATAACACTGCCAACCCACAAGAAGGTAGGATCACCGTGTGTGAATAGTTCATCCTTTTAGGCCATGTCATATCATCTACATGTAAATGAAATTGAAATACAGAAGTGTCCTGACATCGAGAGGAGCAATTGAAGATCATTTGGTCTAGAAATGACTGCCTGCTGCTTGTGTCTTTTATTAGTGTAAAAGCCTGTGCCAGTCATGAGACCCCACAACGTACACATGCAGCCACACATGCACATCGTGCTTTGTTCTATTGCCTGGCTCACTGTGGATACATGAGAATTATGCAAAAAAAAAGAAACTTCTTATTTGTTTGTTTGTTGTGGTGTTGATTGATCACAAGAAACTGAAATTATTTTGCTTCTGCTTTTGTTATTTTGCTGTTTATTTTTTATTAATCCCATAAGATTTTTTCTGATGCCTTTTGTTGTTTTTGCTGCTCCATTTTCATCCCCTAAATTTTGTTTCCACCTCCCCGCTCACTATAACGTCCCTGCTCTCCATTGTGTCATCTTTCTCCTCTCCTGCAATGCATCTTGGAATACCACAGGATATGGAGTCTGATCCTGATGATGAGGTAAAACAGATTCTTCATCATCACATGGAACTGCTTCTTCTTTGTCGTCCTTTCTGTTGGCTTTACTGCAGATGCTGTAGTAAATATATGTGTCGCAAATATTTTGTCTCCGTGCGGTACCTTGGTGTGAAAGATGCTTCTGACTGCACGTTTATTTACACAGCTACGTCATTGCTGAAGTGACCCCTTGTAGTGCATGAGTGGAAATGGCAGTTATTTTAATCAGCAAGAATTTATTTATTGTTGTCTTCATCCCAAGTCCAGTGGAGCCTATTGCTGTGCCACACCTCAGCTTGTTTTTCATCTCTATCTTCCTTTCCATACACGTTCAACAGGAAATCACCACGTCCCCCATCCTTAATATTAACTCATAGGAAGTTTGACACAGGACTATTGTATCTTTTATCACCTAACTCTTATCATTTGTCTACTTAGTCATTGTTTTGTTGTATTTGGGGTTTCCCTTCTTCACCCTTGTCCTTGGCTTATGTTTAACAGAGAATACTAACTCTCTCAGCTGCATGCCAGAACAAAGTTTAATCAAAGGGAGATAAGGCTGTTTTTATGTTTGAGTATTTGCATTATATGTAGTGACCATGTGTGTTATGTTCCTTCCACATAAGTTTATCAACCCACTCACCAGACTGAATGTTAATATTGGACAATTACACACCCAGATCATGTTCACTGACAGCATTTTTGAACGTTCAGTGCCAACATAAAAAAAATATATACATATAATAACTACACATTCCAACTACGGTATGATTTATGGTATGGTTAAAGTTAGGCAAACAACTTGGTTAAGGTTTGCAAAAGGTTTTGGTCATAGTTTCAAAAAGTTTCAACAACCAACACTGATTGTCTAAAAGGTCACTGTCCACTGGCACAATAGACCCACATCCATCACACCAACCGTCACACCTTTTTCAACTTTTCACCTTGTTACATAAAGGGCACACTATTAACTGCATTGGCTCTGAACGATGGCATATTCTATGAATCATGTAATGCAGAATTGTCCAATATGAACATAATTCCAGGAGACTGGGCTAAATATGTACCATTGTCCTAATATCGAAATTGACACGATTACTACTATTATGTAGTGTCACCACATTTGATGATGCACGATAAGAGGACATTCATTTAACAGTACCTAACCTACCAAAGTCAGATTTGCCCATGCTTACCACTAAATGGAATAGTCCATACAGACACAGTACATAGTGTGTGTAGCGATTTAATTGCAATGACATTGAGAATTGCAGTGAGTGAAGAAATGCAGGGAAACAGCCCATTACTCCCCAGAGGACACTACAGTTCACCTCCAGTGCCTCCTTGTGCCAGTATTAACAGCATGTACTGATTCACTAAAAACAGGACAGTGTTCGTACACTGCAGTATCTAAGTCAACTTCTTTAGATTAGATGATAGATAGCATTTCACCATATTTTTTATGTTAAAGCATCTTTTGTTCTTTTTTGTTTGTTTCAGACTGAAAAGCCAGAACGACGTCATACCTTTGCCTCCTTAGCTTTGCGTAAGCGCTACAGCTATTTGACCGACCCAGCAGCGAGTGAGTTTGCCATTTTTACCTACATGAAACTTTTAACATATTTCAGATATTTCTGTGATTTTAATCAGTGTTAGTGTCTAAAGGTCCCTTTATTCAGTGTACATATTTTTTTCATATACCCACCAGTATAGAAAGAGATCTACTTGACAAAACATGTTCACCTGACACATACTCTTTGATCATCTGTCACTCATCAAACATTTGCATGGTTTACTGTGTGTTACGCTTTGCTTACCCACCCCATGTTGACAAAAAGTCTCCCTGTTTCAACTGTTATGTTTTACATTTGTGGAAACACTGGGAATCAATGTCTGTCTGATCACTATCATTTAAACAAAAAATGTTTTAATTCATGTTGAATAAAATATTCTTTTGAATTGTTCTCATTCTTTTAGTGGCCATTTCACTCTTATTGGCTTTATGATTGTGTGCGGCTGTGTATATTAATGTGGTAACAGGTTGCACTTTACATTAACTTGATTTCCCCCGACTATGTTGGAGCAAGTATTTTTCTACAATATTAAATTTTTGCCATTTACAAAATAGTGGCATACATTTCCATGCAACCATCGTGTATTTAAGTATTTAATATTTCACACTGAACTTTTGGTATTGTCAGGACACAGATGTTTTAAAAATTCTGAGGTACGGTCTGTGTTTTATTATTCCAGCCTTGACCATCTGAGTCTTTTGTGAAAAAAAATGTAACACTGATTTGATAAAATGTAAAATATATTCATAGCTATGACTTGAGAAATGTTGATTTAACTGAAAACAGAGACGATTCAATATGACTTACATTGCAGTGCATACTGGACTAGCGTGAATGGCGGATTTACTGTTACCTATTTTGTAAAGTGCAACCTCATTTTATTTTTAACTCATGACCAAACAAGTTGAGTGATATTTTTTTATTAATGGTATACACTTGTGGGGTCATCTCTGGCATTGAAAATGAACCAAATGAAAGGATAAACACATGTCAATCAAACATGTACAGTAAAAGGCACTGTTGCAAAGAGGCAAATAGATAAAGCACATCAAAAGTCAATGGAATTGTATTTTTTGGTTATCATGTCATTTTTGTCAACTCTACCATATGTCAAGCATTTTGTTCCTATACATGCTCTATTCTTTATTGGGTGTACTTTGTCATTAGTCACTGATTTTAGACCACCATTTGTCATATCATCCTGGGTTTTTGAATAAGGGCCTTTCTTACATTTCATGTGTACATTTTTATCTTGCTTTAATGATCCTGTTTCTGACTGACTCAAATTTCTCTTTCTGGTTTTTATGTTTTATTTCAAATTATTTTACGTTACATTTTATGTTTACTTCCTTATTGTTTTTGGTTTAATTTATTGTTGAAGAAACAACTGATCGAAGCACGCCGAGAACACAGCCTTCTAGCTACCCTCACAAACCTGTCTTTTCAACGAGATCTTATCAGGCGTGGTCGCCTGTTCCTGTCGCCGTCCCTGGCCAAGCCAAGTCTGGGTTTGGCTCCCTCTCCAGTTCGTCATCCAACACGCCCTCTGCCTCTCCATTAAAGTCTGTCTGGTCCATCAACTCTGCCTCCCCCATCAAGACCAACATCCCTGGATCACCTGCCTCCTCTGTTAAGTCAGTTAGTGACATGGCCTCTCCCATCCGATCTTACAGAACCATCTCCTCTCCTATAAAAACTGTAGTCCAGCAAGCCCAGTACCCAGTCCAGGTCACCCCCAGTCCCCTGGCCTCACCAGGTAAAAGTGCCCCAGATCCTATGTCTATGAAAGGACTGACAGCATTGTCTGCCAGGACCTCCCCTATAACTGCCTCTGGTGGAGGAAGCCCTCTTCTTGAAAGAGCATCCATAGGCATGACACCACCAACCTCTCCCAAATCTTCTCTGAGTATGTTCAGTTCACCTCTGCCATACAAGACCGTCATGGGGGGTTCTGCTGGCACAGCATCTTCCTCCTCACCAATAAAAACAGTCCCTGGTCTCTCCTCTGTGCGTTCCTTTGCCTCAGAAGCTATTGGCCCTGCAAGAAACCTGTTCTCCTCGCTTTCATCACCACATAAATCCAACACCTCTCCAAGTGCTGCAGCTCTGATCAATGGAACTGTGTCACCTACACAGTACCGCTCTTCATCCCCTACATCTCTTCTCACAAGCAGTCTACAAGAGAGAATACAAGCAACCACCAATGCTGCGACTACAAGTGTCAATGCAGCCTTTGATGAGGTTGAAAAAACATTTAATTCTTGTTCTGCAGGCTATGGCACCTTGAAGTCCTTGTCCTCTTCTGCATCTTCCTCATACCAGTCCATTAGATCATCAGCTTCTAATTCTCTTTACGCCAATCTAAGATCCCCTTCTAATGCCACTACTGCTGTAACATCCAGTACAATGACTGTTCCAGTGTACTCTGTTATAAATGTGCTGCCAGAGCCCCAGTTTAAAAAGCTACCTGAGGTGTCCAAGTCAGCTGCTGCGCTTCTGTCCCCACGGAAAACTGTTCACCCTGAGGTGAATGCTCAGTTGCAGTCTTCCTTTGCCAGAACTCTTTCCCCTGTCAAAGCCCCTCTTTTTTCTACTGGCCTGAAATCAAACACCACATCACCACTGTCATCCAGCCAAGAGATTCTGAAGGATGTAGCTGAAATGAAAGAGGACTTGATACGAATGTCAGCCATTTTGCAGACAGACCCAAATTCCACCGCCAATAAAGGATTTCAGTCTGATTCTCCAAAAGAGGCTAAGATAGAGGACGAGGAGCCATATAGGATTGTGGAGAAAGTAAAACAAGATTTGGTTAAAGTGAGCGAAATCCTTACTAAAGATGCTGTGAAGGATGGTAGGGTTTCCCTGGCAAGGGGTTCTTTGGATGACATACACTTCTCAAAAGTACAAGTTGAACAACCACCAAGCAATTGGAGCTATCCGCCAAGATATGAGACTGTGGTTCCTCAAGCCAAATCAAAAACAATACCAGATAGAGATTTCAATCTCTCCAAAGTGGTTGACTACCTGGTCAATGATGTTGGTAGCAGCTCTTTCTCCAAAATGCATGACACAAAGCATAAAGCAGATGAGGGCAAGAGAGAAGGAGAGGGCAAGGAGAAGCAGAAACGGGTCCTAAAACCCACCATAGCAGTTCAAGAGCATAAGCTCAAAATGCCTCCAACAAACATGCGCTCTTCAGCTTCAGACAGAGAAATCAGTAAAGTAGCAGATGCGCTTTTTGGAGCAGACACTGTGCTAGAATCCCCTGATGATATCTCACATGAACAGGATAAAAGCCCCCTCTCAGACAGTGGCTTTGAGACCAGGAGTGAAAGGACACCCTCAGCCCCTCAGAGTGCAGAAGGCATGGGCCCCAAGGCCCTTTTTCAGGATATCCCAGTTCCCCCAGTGATCACTGAGACTAGGACTGAGGTTGTCCATGTCATCAGGAGTTATGAGCCCCCAGAGGACAACAAACAACCTGCTATGGAGGATGCACATTCTGTTAGATATATTGATTCAGATTCTAAAGGGCATCTAAATCAAGCTACATCAACTCCAGAACAAAATAAATGCTATTCAATAAAAGTCAGCCCTGATGAGGACCCAATGGGAAAAGGGATGAGGGTAAAGGAGGAGACTCACATCACTACCACCACCAGGATGGTGTACCACAAACCGCCTGGCAAAGAATCAGCATCGGAGAGGTGTGAAGAAACTATGTCTGTGCATGACATAATGAAGGCTTTTCAGTCAGGCAAGGACCCTTCTAGAGAGCTGGTTGGACTGTTTGAACACAAGTCTGGCAATGAAGAAACATCACAAAGAGTCCTTGAGGACATCAACTCCAAACCGAAGGTTGAAAGAATAATTGAGGTTCACATTGAAAAAGGCAATAAAACAGAACCAACAGAGGTCATCATCAGAGAGACAAAAAACCATGCAGAGAAGGAAATGTATTACTACCCAGGGAATAGACACGAAGAGGAGGAGCCTGAGGAATCGCTACCAGTGTACCTTGACTCTCCTAGAGTGAATACACCCATGTCACAAGAGGAAGACAGTCGCCCTAGTTCAGCCCAGCTCATGGCAGATGATTCTTACAAAACACTAAAGTTACTTAGTCAGCAATCTGTAGAGTACAATGAGGATGAATCATCAGAGCTTAGGGGAGAATCTTATAATTTTGCAGAGAAAATGCTACTCTCTGAGAAATTTGACCAGTCTCATTCTGACACAGAGGAATATTTGAGAGATAGGTCTCGCTTCCACTCACCAGACAGAAGCAGTCACAGTGAGGGTAGGTCAGTCGGGCCAAGGACAGAGTATGTCTTCAGGTCATCAAGAAATGTGTTTGACAAATCTGGAAGAATGGCCAATGTTGATGATAACTTTGACAAACTGACACTTTTGCAGTACTCTTCTGAGCCTGGTAGCCCAAAGCAATCTGTTTGGATGCGTGTGTCAGATGACACACAGAGTAAGGACAGGGAGCAGCTTATGTATGAGGACAGAGTGGATAGGACTGTAAAGGAGGCAGAGGAAAAACTCAGTGAGGTGTCTCAATTCTTTCGTGATAAAACAGAACAGCTCAACGATGAGCTCTCATCTCCAGAGAAGAAATCTCGAAGACCAGACTTCAGAGAATCACGATCAGGGCCCAGTTCTACACATAGCAGCCCAGAAAGGTCAGCTTATAGAAATGGGGGTAGTGGGGAAGAGTGGAGCAGAGAAAGGCTTAGGGACAGGTTCAGCTCCAGTGACAGGAAATGTGCCAGCCTACCAAGCAGTCCAGAGAGGAGAGTATTGCTGCAGTACAGTGATTCAGATCCAAGAAAACAAGGAGATGGTAAATCACAGGGAGGCACAGGTGAAAGCCCTAAACCTTTTCAAATGTCTTCCTCTAAAGTCAGTGCAGTGAGGCTAAAGTTTGAGCAAGAGGCTCAACGGCAAGATAGGAATCCTCAGGGTGGCCAAAACTCAAATCCTCCAATTAGGAAACTCCAAGAAAGTAAGCTACCTGTGTATCAGGTGTTTGCTGGTTCAAACATTCCAAAAACACCAGATAGTCCGGGGAACCAGAGGAGATGTCTAGATAGTGAATCAAATAAGTTCTCACCCAAGCATGAGATCAGTGGAAAAGATCAGGAAGAGAAAAAGTTATTCAAAACATGGGAGAGCCAAGAGTATGGTAACTATAAGCCCCAATCACCCAAACTAGCTCATTCTTTAATCCATGATTCTATTAAAGATGGCAATAGTGATTCCCAAAGACAAGAAACCACCAAGAAAATAATCTACACCGAGTTTGTTGTCCGTGAAAGTCCAAATAGCAATGATAGTCTAAAAAAAAACTCGGAATCACAAATTCCTGTAAGAAAGCCATCTAATTTCTCAGAAAATCACAAATCCACTTCTTTAAAATTAGATGCCATTGTTGAACCATATGAGAGGGCAGGGTCTCATATACCTACTTTAGCTAGAAATCGGTTACACAGTAGTTCTGAATCCAACAAGTCTACTCGTGGATCATCAGTAGGAAAATCCACAGACTCATCAGACAGTAGCCAGTCAAATGTAGTGTGTAACGGTGTTGATAGTGACCAAGTAGAGTATTTTGATCAGGTAACTCCTGTAGTTGTCACAGAGGGTTTCAAAGATATTAAACCCTTACCTGTGTATGTTAGCATCCAAGTAGGAAAGCAGTATGAGAAAGAAACAGCTTCGGGGCAGCTGGGAACTTACAAAAAGATAGTAAGCCATGAGAGTAGGACAGTGCATGAGACTAGGGGTGCGTTTTACACTGTCAAGCAAAAGCCATCTCCATCTCCTCAAGGAAGTCCAGAAGATGATACTCTAGAGCAAGTGACTTTCATGGACAGCTCTGGGAAAAGTCCTGTTACCCCTGAGACCCCCAGTTCAGAGGAAGTGAGTCTGACCTCAAGAACACCAGACTCTGTGATAGGCTTCATGCCTGGCATGCCAAGCCCTATCCCAGAGGAGTCTGAGGATGAAGATGGGAAGACGTTCATCTACAAGGGGCCCTCAAAAGAGAAATCTAAGTCAACTTCCTCAGAGAATCACAGTAGAAAAGTGGATGCAGAAAGACAGAAGCCAAAAGAGAAAAGAGTAGCTTATATTGAGTTTCCACCTCCTCCACCTTTAGAGGCAGAGCAGTCCGACCCTGAGAAAAGGGGGTCATGTGCTTCTTCTGAAGCAGAGACAGAGATGATGGAGGTGAACCTCCAAGAGGAGCATGATCGACACCTCTTAGCGGAGCCAATCATCAGGGTCCAGCCTCCATCCCCTATTCCCCCTGGAGCTGATAATAGCGACTCCAGTGATGATGAGTCTGTCTTCCATCCCATTCCTATTAAAAAGTACACCTTCAAAATGAAAGAGGAAGGAGAGAAATGCCCTAAACAAAAGAAAACAGAGAAAAACGAAAATAATGAGTCTGGGATCAATGGTGTTGTAAAAGGGGAAGATGCTGACTTTGAACAAAATGGCAATGACCAGTCAATCACTGACTGCTCTATAGCAACCACTGCTGAGTTCTCCCATGACACAGATGCAACTGAAATAGACTCTTTAGATGGATATGACCTTCAGGATGAGGATGATGGACTGAGCGAGGACCCTAAAACATCTAGTCTGTCCAATGATGGAAAAACAACTGACCGCTCATTTAGTCAGTCAAAGCTTGAGGTGATAGAGGAAGAGAAATGTGAGGAAGGGGGGGATAATGGAAAGACTAAAACCAGCACATCTTCAGCAAAAAGCAGTGGAGATGAAAAAGATTATACCCTTGAAGGAAGACATCCAGATAGGCAGGGCTTTGGAGAAAGCTACTTTGGTTACCAACTTGAAGAGGAGTTGAATTCAACCTTTAAAACTGTTGCCACCAAAGGCCTGGACTTTGACCCCTGGTCCACCAAAGGGGGTGATAATGAGGGACTTTTTGAGTCCAAAACAAAAGAGGAGGACCCCAAGCCCTTTGGTTTATCGGTGGAGGACAAATCACAGGCTACAACACCTGACACAACCCCCGCACGAACACCGACTGATGAGAGCACACCGACTAGTGAGCCAAACCCCTTCCCTTTCCATGAAGGGAAGATGTTTGAGATGACCCGCAGTGGTGCTATTGACATGAGCAAGCGGGACTTTGTTGAAGAGAGGCTTCAGTTTTTCCAGATTGGTGAGCATTCCTCTGACCCTAAAACAGGGGAAAAGGGGAGAGGGGGCAAGATCCTGGGGGTAATTTCCTCTCAGTCAAAAACAGGGGAGAGGGCCACAGTAGATGGGATGGTGAAGGTTATAGATACTACCACAGACAGCAGCACTACACCAACAACACCAGCAACAACAGCAAAATGCAGCCCTTCACAGCCTGGCAGTGACACTGGCTATACCGGTACTGATGCCCCCACCTGTGAAGCCATAGCTGAGACCGCCTCCTCATGCACAATCACAGCCTCTAAGGTTGATCCCAAATTACGCACTCCTATTAAGATGGGCATAGCTGCCTCTATAACTGTGAAAAAAGACTCAGGGGATCTCACCGATTGTAAAGCTGAGATGTCAGAGGGTCAGATGGTGCCAGAATACATCAGTATAGAGGGTCAATGTACAGAGAGCCAGTCTAGCAAACACAGTGAGCCCAAGTTAGAGAGAAGAGATTACCCTTCTGAAAACTGCAACAACAACAATAACCTCGAGTCCTCCAGTGTTCAGGCCAACTACATTCAGTGTGGTAGTGTGGTGTTTAATTTGCAGTCCTCCTCTGAGCCCACTCTTCAAAAAGCTAGCAGGATAGAAACACTGTGCTGTAGGGATTTAGAAGAGAGAGTGGAAGTACACAGCAGCAGTCAAGTGCAGGAGCAGAAAAGTGAAACAGTTAAAGAAAGTGAGGTGAAGCAGCCCAAGTCGAGGCTTCCAGTTAAAGCATCAGGGTGGTCATTTCACACGCAGGGAACAGCCATAGGCAAACAGAAGCCCAAACAGGCAGTAACGGTTGAGATCAGGAAAAGAGGAGAGCCAGTCATAGCCAAAGTAGAGCCCAGGTCTAGAATACCAATCAAGGATGTTAAAAAGAGCAGCCCTGCTGCCACACCTAGCTCACCTGTCTCAGTTCGGGTTACCTCACAGCCAACAAGGGCATTGGACACAGACAGAGCAGCCATACAGTTGCCCTCAAGGCTACCACTGAAGGACAGGCATCAGGTCAGCAGTGTCAAAATTGAGGGAGCATGTAGACAGGGCAGACAGGAGAACCCTAGTGAGGTTTGTAAGCGCACCATCGAATACTTTAAAGGCATTAGCGGGGAGACGCTAAAGTTGGTGGACCGCCTGTCAGACGAGGAGAAAAAGACGCAGACAGAGCAGTCGGAGGAAGACAGCACCTCCCGGAGCACCTCTCTGTCGGACGCCTCCCAGCCTTCCCAGCCCTCCCAGCCCTCCCGCTCATCCAGGTCTGGTAGAGGTTCGAGGGCTGAGGCCGGGGCCGCGTCCGTAAGGGCAAAGGTGGCGACGACGGACAGGGCCTCCGGCAGTGAGAGGAGCAGGAGGAGTAGGCGGACTGGTGGGAAGGAGGGCAGTCAGGGACTCACAGGGTCTCGAACGCCTCCCATCGCGGAGATCAAGCCTAGTTTGTAAAACTTTCACACTATGTTTAAAATACATCTATATATTTATATATATTTCACTTTTAGTTGCATGACATCGTTGTGATCGTTAAATGGATTGACTGGAATGCCTGTGGCGTGTTTACATATTCTCTTCAGAACAGTAGCTGTCATTTAAATTTATTTTTTGTCATTGATGTACTGTGTACTGTATTGTCCTTGTTGCAAGATTCTCTTTCCTCTGTTCCCCTTTTTGAACCCTTTTAAACCTCCGTATAGTAGAGTGAGCATGCCAGTAGTAGTGACTGGTCCACTGGCACAACCAGTCCCTTTTTTGACAACTCCCTGGTCTGTCTGTCTGTCTGTCTGTGCGGGGTGGCTACAAAGTTATTGTAGTAGTTTGTTCTTACAGAATTTTTCGTGCTATCAATTGTCATTTAAACTAACTATTGTTGGCAAAGAACACACAAAAGCGTCTTCGCATGTTGACATTTTACATTCTAACATAGACCTTTCCACCCTAGATTTGTAGAACTATGAGTCTGTTGTTGAGAGTCATGTTATGCTTTGTTTTGTGTGGTTCTCATGACAGTTACTGCCTGCCTAGAGGATACATACCACAAATAGTCACAGAGCACCACTTACTCGATGAACATATTTCAGTTGCTCATAATGTCTCTAATGTGAAATATCCTTTTCTTGCCATCCTGGGGAAATAATTGAACCTACATTATAGCTATTTTATTATATGCTAACCATTGTAATGTAAATATTTGTAACACTTCCTTGATTAATGTCATTAATTCTAATTAATAAGTGGCCAGAAAAGGAAGATTATGTACATATTCATTCTTTTCTCTTACATTAGTGTATGGGGGGCAAAAAATGTGAATGATATTAATGAGTCATTGTCCTCTATCTTCCCAGGTCCCCAAAGTCCTTGTGAGCGAACAGATTTGCGCATGGCGATTGTTGCAGATCACCTGGGACTCAGTTGGACGGGTGAGAAACATTCTGCAGTGCTGTTTTCTGTCTCTTAGTTCCCTTCTACTTAACTTTCTTCAGTCTCAAAAGGTGTTATTTACTGCCCTCTTCAGGCTAACAGAATAACTTACAAAGAATCTATGCTCTTATAATGTTGCCCCGAACAGGAGAAGGTCATTTAGTAAGGACAAAAAGAAATAAAACAATCTCACTGTTAAAGAAAAGCATTGGAATTTAAATGCAGTGATGAGACAATAGAAGTTATACGATTTTATTAAATACAAAAATCTGTATTGTATATTATCTTCTGCAATCTGTATTTGCACTGTGAATGCCATGACAGACACCTACTTAAAGACAATACTGCACATTGAAGTTTGAATATTTGTCTATGTGTGTCCATCACAGAGTTGGCTCGGGAGATGAACTTCACGGTGGATGAGATCAACCACATCAGACTAGAGAACCCCAACTCTCTGACAGCACAAAGCTTCATGCTGCTTAAGAAATGGGTCAGTCGGGAAGGGAAAAACGCCACAAGTAAGACTATTTTTATATCTGAAAATTGTACTTTGTCCTTCATTTTTCCTCCCTTTGTATCTCTTTCTTATTCTTTTTCACTCTTGAGGAAAGGCTAAAAAGTTCATCACCTTTAGAAACAAACATCTAATGCTAGCTCACTGAAATTAACGTTTTTTTCACAATCTGTTCAGAAACCTTCAAGCACCAATCTGGAAGATGTTTAAATTTAGAAATAGCCCTATTATTCCTGCCCCTTTCAACAAAAGGAATCCAAATTATACCAACTTTTACTTTCATATAGTTCTCAAGAAGAATTTTATATTTTTTGTTTGTCATTAGTAAAACATTGGAATAGGCAGTTTTGCTTATTATTACATTTACAAACCTTATTTCATAATTTGTTTTCGTCTTCTGTTTTTTCACAGCGGATGCCTTAACTGCAGTGCTGACCAAAGTCAATCGGATGGATATTGTGACTTTACTGGAGGGCCCAATATTTGACTATGGTAACATTTCAGGCACGAGATGTTTTGCCGATGATAACGCTGTTTTCCGGGATCAGGCTGATGGTAAAGTTTAGCTCTGTCTAGCTGACCTCTTACCTCTCCCTGCTACCTTTTGTTGTGCCAATGCATGGGTCACATACATATAGTGCAAGTCTCTAGAGAAGCTAATTTACAGTCAGATTTGGATTTTGTCTGGACAACTGGTTCCTACTGTTCCCCGAATGCATTCCTGATTTCTGTACTTCTGCCATTGAAATAATTATAGTATTATTCCATAAACTTCAATCCTTCTTGCCTATTAAAAAAGCACTTTAACACTTATTTGAATTGGCTTCTGCTGAATTCACCACCATTTTTATTTAAATCAGGTCTTGCTCAGGGTGAATACTCCCTAGAAATCACAATAGTGTATCCAGTTGTCACAAAGGAGCAATATCCACTATTAAAATCCCATTCTAAATGCATGCTGCATACTACATATTGCTTTAAATCTGTTTTAAATTATGTCTTAGTTTAGTAGAAATTATATAACCTTGTAGAGTCTGCTTTTCTCTATTGTTTAATTTAGTTCTCCTAGTTCTCCTCCAGTTCCTCTGAGCCTTCTTTGGATAGATGAGAGAATCTCTTTCTCTGTGAAACCAGACTGCCTCCTCCTCCTCCTCCTCCTCCTGCTCCTCCTGCCTCCCATCACCTCCCCACAGCAGTATCCGCTGCTGATAACAGCACATAACAGCTCTTAACAAATTAAGGGTCATATGTGGTGATATCTACGTGTGCCCTCTCCTTATCCATCCCTCACGCGTGTCCTCCTCCACACATCCCACAGTCATCTTATTCATTCATTGTCTTGTTGTACAAGCATGTTTCACATAAAACAATCTTTTATGTATTGTTTTCCTCTTTCTCCAATTCACTTTTTGTTTCTTTTTTTTTATCTCTTCTTTATATGTCTTGCTTTATTCCTTTCCCATAGTTTGCATAATTATCCCTCTAACTCCCAGAAGCACTGAAGCTGCCTTCATGCTGCAGACCCCCAGCCCCTTCTTTCCAACCCTGACCCCAACACCCCCACCCACTCCCCTTGCAACCACTACAGCACTTCAGGGCCGCCCCTTTTCCTCACGCCGCTCTCCGAGTTATGAGTCCTCCATTTCACTCAAAGACTTGGCACCTCCAGCCCCATTTGAACCAACACAGTTCAACTTCCTCTCCCGTCCTCCCCAATGCCTCATCGCTCAATGCTCCCATGCTGACCCTCATCAGTCGCCTGCCTTCCCTTACTCTCCCCACCCATCCTCCCCGATCCCTCTCATCACCTCACCTTTACCTCCCTCATCTGCTGCTAACTCTCCGCCACCTATTCCTTCTTCACTCACGCCTGTACCGTCCTCTCCCACCTCTGCCCCAGCCTCCCCCATACTCACCACTCCAAAATCTTCACAAGCAGAACGAAACACATTTTCCTGTCATACCCCCTCCAAAACTGCAACCACATCCACCAACCTCACCCCCGTACCCTCCTCGATTGCTAACCAATCTGAATCCATTACCTTACCTGTTTCACCCATCCCCTCCTCACCCTCAGGCAGGACCTCGCCTTCTGTCATCGCCTCACCAAGCAAAGATTCTGTAGTGACCCAAGGCCTGGCCTCCTCCTCCCGCCCAGTCTCCCCTCTGTCCTTATCCACCCTCCCTCCTATCTCTCCCTCTGGGTCCCGTTGTCCTAGCCCCAGTCCTTCTTCCCCTCCTCTTCGTTCCCTGTCTCCCTGTCCAGCTTGCCAGTGTACTTGTGCGCCCTCAGTCCCTCCACCTCCCACCCAAACCCACACTGACCCTTCCACAATGGAAATATTAATGTAGCATGCTCTATCCTTTATCTTGTTCCTTCTCTTCCCCTGCTCCTTGTCGCATCTCTCATCTGTCAAATATCTCATGTGAGCATGTAACAGAACACCCTGGCAAACATTAATATCTTACACTCATCACATCCCACACTACATGATTAATATGGCCTTATGTCACTAATGTGTCCCACTTTCAATGTCTTACCTCATCACAACTGCTGAATAAACACTCACTGAAAATCAAACAACTACTTATAAATATGATATTTCTTTTATGATTACTGTCAATTGGAATGTACTTCTTTATATATTTTTAATATTTTATTATTTTTTATTGTGTTGAATATGGCATTTCGAACACAAACAGTAAAATGACTTTGTATTGATTTATTACATTTTACTGCATATGTTTGATATTATACTGTATAATGTATTGACATACATTATACAGTAGCTGCTGACATATCACAATCTCAGCTAGTGGTTGTCTGGATACATGCTTTACACTTCAGCTTTTGTGCCATTGTCCACGTCATATGGTGTATGTGTTAGTGGTGTTTTTTTTTTCTTTTGTGGCATGCTTCGGTGCTTGTATGTCTCTACATTTGTCATCCTGTCACCTACAGATTATCAGAGCATTCTAGCGGAGCTGCAGTCTCCTGCCGCACTGCACTCTGACCCCCACTTCCTGGAGCCCGAACTTCCCGTCACCCCCATCCCTACCCTTGCCCACCACCAACACCACCATTACCCAGAACCAGACACCCCTTTGCTGGTCGACTCCCAGCCTCAGCCCATGCCCTGGAGTCCGGAGATAGAGCCTGGTAGCGGAGAGCCAGACAGCACCCCTAGGAGCCCCCCCCGACCCTGTGAGCTCGCCCTGTCTGTCCCAGCCTTTGAACTCCCCGATCCTGTTCCTTCCAAGGTCAGAAAGCCCTACATCGCTCTGAACGACCAGCTGCTTTTGAGTGAGGAGGAGGACAGAAATGAAATGGAGCTGAGCCACAAGCCCAAGTCACTCTCCTTCCCCACTATGTGCGAGTTAGACATTGACATGGCTTACTCCACATCTTCCCCTTCACTCTCATCAGTATCATCTATTACCCCTTCATCACCTGACAGAGCACAAATGGTAGATGGAGGAGTGCTGATTGGTGCCCCTAATGGGGTGCAAGAAGATATAGGTTTGAAAGGAGGTGAAATGGAAGTGACAGAAGAAATACAGAAGGTTGTTGAGATGGTTGCAGCAGAGTTAGTAGAGGGAAATGGTTTAGTGGAAAAGTGGGTAGAGCAAGACTTGATTAAAAATGTGGAAATAAAATGTGAGATGATAACACAAGATAGAACCAAGTTGGCAGAGGAACATAACATTTTGGTGGAACAGAAGGGGGGATCAGAAGAGGAAGAGAAAGATGTGACAAATGAGCAGCTTGTCTTTATTCAAGATGGGAATAAGGGGACTGCCTGTGAGGTGGAGGAGGTGAGAGATGTGCAAAATGTGTCAGAAGAACAGCATAATCCGATAGAAATTGAGTATGAAGTGGAAAAGGGTTGTGCCACAATGGGAGGAGAGACTGTCAAAGAGTGTATTAATGAAACACCTGAGGTTAAAGTTGATGGGGGCAGTGAGGAAAAGGTCAGTCAGGGTGACAGAATGGATGATACAGATGGAGAACTTCAGCTTAAGGATGAAGAAGGTTTGTGCGGCAGTGAAAGAGATATTTGCATGACATCGGAAGGGGACAAGGCAGCCGAGGACCAGGCTGTAACTCGGCTCTCCCCTCAGGCCTGGGTTGAGGCACTTGGGGAACGACAGCCCAGCGATTCTGGCTCCAATGAGGAAGAGGATGAGGGAGAAGCAGACCAAAAAGACTCAGAAGAGGCATTAGGATCTCTGTTGGAGGAGGAGAAGAAAGAAGAAGGCTCAGAGGAGAACGAGGAGAACGAAGAGATGAAGGCCAGTGTTGAGGAGATTCTTGATCAGGTTGAACAAGCAGAAAAAGAAGTGTGTTCACTTTCAGGTTGGCACAGTGATTCATCCAGCGTCAATGTGGAACCACCTACGCCATGCCGCAGTGTCAGCTCAGACCGACTCGACAGGCGGGAAAGGTAAAAGTATTATACAACTATAGGCCTCAAACAGAAGTCTCCCAGAATGACAACCAGAATTTGAAATCTACTGCTTTCCTAGTGCCCTTTTGTCTGTTTTTCAGCTCTTTGTGTTATCCTACAACTACAATAGTAATTCTGTGTTTTTTACCCAACAGCCAAGAGAACTCTAGTGACTCCATCACTTCCTCGTCAAGGGGAGAATCAGGGAGGTCCCGACAGAACGGCGACAGCTCAAAGCACTCACCTCAGGGCGGCTCATCGGAATCATCGAACGGCAGAAAGGAAGAGGGAGCACTGGTGTCGGAGAAAAAAGTCCAGGTAATGTTTCAAGTAATAATAATAATAATTAATAGAATGAAACAAAAAGACCATAAAAAGAAGTTTAAACCATGTAGAGTATAATTGAAGTTCTGTTATTGCAGGAGAAACGCCTATAGCCTACCTATGGTGTACTTTGTGCTAAAGAAAACATGTCAGTGTTTTATTTCAGGTTTCTCTTATCTGATACAGCCAACCATGGAGTTAAACTACATAAAGAACATCAACAAAGTGCCTCCACTAACTAATTCTCTTATACCTATACATGTGCTTCTTTCTCCTCCTGACTCCCTCCATGTGCTTGTGTAATGACCTCATAATACCTTCCTCAGCAGCGTGTTAGTGTAGATTCCGGTTCAGAGGAAGAACAGACTGTTACCACCAGAATCTTCAGACGCCGTCTGATTTTAAAGGTACCCCGAAAGCTTGGAGCACAAGCTGGGCTGAGCCTTGGTTTGCTTTGGTTTGGTTGGGTTTGATTTAGTTTAGACCGGTCAGTCTGATGTGCATTGTAGTGGTATTGCTTGGTGTTCTGATAGTTCTACTCTTTTTGCGTGTTCATAAATATGTTTGTGTAGATGCCTATTAAGCCTCAGTTGATGGTACCTCATGCCATGGTGTTTACATTGGCTTTTTGGAGACTAACCTAGTCCTCTGCCTCTTTCTGACATGGAGAATCTCTCTCTTGAGTTTTGTTTTTTCAGTGTGGTGGTGGTGGTGGTGGTGGTAAAGGATTGTTTTATCATTTTCGCCATATCTGAGCCGTTATTCATGTGCTAACCACAAACGTTTGCAGGGAGAACAAGCAAAGAATATTCCAGGCGAGTCTATGACAGAGGAACACTACCTGGACCAAGATGGTAACCTCATCAGTAGAAAAGTAACGTATTACTTAATTTCCCATTCAGCTCTGAAATGAAACCTATCACACGGAGAATATATACTGTAAAAGCAGACACCATCAGACCTTTTCCTCCTTTGTCGACATCCTTCTGCCTCGGGCAGGTAATCAGGAAGGTTATTCGGCGGGTGTCTACTCCCACACCAGAAAACCAAGGAGGTGACAGCTGGCACCAAGATCTTCAGCATAGTCCCATTCTGCAGGAAGACGGGTCAGAGGTTGGCATGAAGATACCCTTAAACTGTTGTAGGAGAACTTTGGTGGGAGGTTAACAACTAATGTTTAAGTTAGGCTTAAAGCTGCACTGGGCAAGACTTAAAAAACACCTAATTTATTGGCCTAAATCAATAGGGCAGTAAGAAAAAGAGCATTGTACCTTATCTAAATGTCTCTAAATGAATCTAAAAATCATAGTCTCTGACCAAGTAATGTTTTTACTAAAAAGGTTTCTAAAGATTGGAAATATGTCTACACAGAAAATCTGGAGAATATTTCCAGAGATACGGTCTATCCATAAGATCAGAGCGTGATGTCCTTGATGGTTTAAATACTTACTGTTGGAATAAGCAGATACAGGATGAATACACTATGTGACATTGTTGTACATGTGAATAAAATACATTTCCTAACTTTAAAGCTAATTTAAAAGGAATATTAAGGGGGAAACTGGGGTTACACGGCACAGTTTACTGATAACACATATTGAAGTTACATTTCACTTTTGTTTGGGTGCAGCTTTAAGTCAAACAATTAAGTTAATAAAGGATCAGTTAGATTTGGTCATGTTTTACAGCGGTGCAGGGATATTCTCATTAACACTGGATTAACTGATTTGGAATAACTGTCCTCATTATCTCTCTTCTAGACAAAAAAAAACATAAATGCAGCATTTGAAGTACATGCTTGCATGCTGTGTTTTGACACTGTGGTGTCTATTGTGGTTGCATAACAAAGAGGATGCTGACTAGGCTCATGACTGTGTGGTTTTAATGGTCTTTTTAACCAATTAGTCAACAGTGTGACTAATGAGTGCCGTGACTCTGCTGTGAAAATACAATCTGCCTCTTTTGTTTCTAACTCTTTCCATAATAATAATAATAATACATTTTCTTCTTCCAGGTGTCTGGTTGGTGTGTGGTCCTAATATATTCCTAACAATTAAGCTACTACTAACATTTCCTAGTTTCAGATGCTTGAAGTTTTGCTTTCTCCTTTGTCTCAGTTTTCTGTTTCAGGTCTGTGTGTTGGGTTGCAACTTGTTTTTCTTCCTATCAGAAGATAGAATAGCACATCTCAACTATATTTCTGTGTGTGCTTGTGTTTTCCAGCAAGGAGAAGGGTCAAGGAATAGCAGGCGAAAGGATGACAGAAGGTCAGGGGATAAAAAGCTCCACTCATAGGGATGGTTGTGCTCTACCAGGTACAGTAACCTACAGTCTTTCACTGTAACACACTTTACATAGTTCCCCTCTCTTTGTTGTCCATGTGTCCATACACTGTTCCATCACAGTTTCTAATCTGCTGTACAGCTGCACTGGCTTTTCCTTAAACACTGTATTCTATTTCTGTGTTTTGTGCTTCTCTGTTCATTTTTACTGTACTGTCATCAGCTCTTGTCTTGTCAAGTCAACTGTTTCTCTGCTTTCTCTTCTTTGTACTTGACTCTATTTACTTGTACTTTATACATTTTATACTCAACGCACTGCAGTGCACTGCTCTAAGTGACTCAATCTGAGTCTCCATGAAGGGAATAATTCAACATTTTGGCAAATGTGCTCATTTACTTTTTTGCTTTGCTTTCTTGAACTTCAAAGTTCAAAAATATGCAATAACAGCACGGCTAATTAACTTGTAACACCAGGCAACCAATGGATATGCTGCACAGATACATGCTGGGCAGTTGGATAAACGGTTCTTATGACACTCTTTAGCTAAATAATCAAAAAATATTCTTTAAAAAAATAATAAAATAGTATTCATGTTTGTGTCTGTGATTCCAGTCTTTGTGCTAAGCTAATGGCCTCCTGGCCCCAGCTCTGCACCTAATGCACATACATGAGTAGTATCAATCTTCTCATCTAACTCTCTGCAAGAAATATAATAAGGCAATTTACCAAAATGTCAAACTACTCCTCTAATTTACACCTCCCCAGATAGTTGCTCTGTCACACTGTCAGACAGACTCAGCGCAAAAGGCCGACTGATGTCTGAGCCTGGTTATCCTCTGGCAACATTTCTGTCCTCCGTGTTCACTGAGTGTGTGTGAATAGGGAACAGGGCTGATGGTGACGGTACACACCTCAGCATTATATTGCCCCGCAGATACCCTCCATTGCCTGTTTTTGTCCACTAAATCCCCAACTCACAATAGCATTGTAGCATCCAAAAAGAGTTTGTTATCCCACCGGCCAGACTGTTAATCCCTACTGCTGTTCACCCTTATGTTATGTTTGCAGTGAATCATTCCATCTGTACAAAACTGACTTTGAAAAAAATATGGCACTACCGTGAAGTCTGGCACAGGGTTTCTATGGTAACAGAGGTCACCATAACAACCCACGAACCATCAGGTCTCGTTAACATGCTGTCATTTTGTCATACAAAGAAATGGGAGATTGTGACAGTTTTTTGCCCTTTGAAAAGTGTTTTCACACGTTGAAAAATAGTCTTTTATAAGAGAAGGGTTACAGCCTTTGAATTATGTAGAGATAATATTACCTTTTAAAGATAATGTACATTTATATTGGGAAATGTATGGCATTCAGAATTATCCTTAATCTTTAAACATATTAACATTAACATTAAATGTGCTACAATATGTGACGTACTGTTTTGTGTCTTACAGATGTACAGGAACCAAGTCAGATGTTTCCTGGGACTACGTGTTCAGAAGGCTGGAAAGCTCATGTGTGAGGACTTCAGGCAAGGTTCTAGTCTGCAACTACCTGCTTCAAACAAACGGTTTTCACGTGAGAGGAATCGACCCTTCTGACTTACGCATGAGCATGAAAAACTCACCTCCTGTCAATCAAAGGACCGGGAGGGTTCTCACTTTCTGACTGTGGTGGACCCGTGGACAATGATTCTGCTTCCTGTTTTGTGTGAAACAATACGTGCCATCGGTCCACCGGTGTTTGTGAGAGCTTTTTGAGGAGCATCGTTTGTTGTGAAAACGAAAAAGACTCCCTTACTGACAACTACACAGGTGCAAACTGTGACCAAAGATGGCACAAGAGCTCAATCCACATGGTGGGTGGAAAGAACGAAGTAGACACAATAACACGTAAAAAAAAAAAAAAAAATCTAATGGAACACTTCTGATCCAACTTCAACACTCGCCTTATAGTTTTTTCTTGAACCCATTGTTGTCAGGATGAAAGTTGTTTTGGGATTTTTTTCTTCCTTTTTAAAACTTAAACTAACACAAAAGCTTTTTTCTGTATATAAAATTACAACGTGTAAAAATCTTAAAAAAGGGTAAGTTACTGGTTGAGAACGCACTGAGGAGATTAACCTTTTCAAGTGCTTTCAAAATTTATTGAAACGGTTCCACTTTTAAAGATTTGAGTGTAACTTCACAGGTTCTTGTATAATTAATTATTAGAGCAGGTATAATGTTTGTACATGAAAAAAAGCTGGTTTGATTTTAACAGAGGAAATTTCCAGAAAATCAAATTTCAGTAATTCCCAAAGTGGGAATTGATCTAATCCTACAAAAAGCAGCCTTTCAGAGTTCTCATATTTTCATGCATGCTGTTCACATTATTTTAAGTACAATTTTTACAAGTTTGCAATCACTGTATTCACATGACAAATAAAACCCTTTATTCGTGTACACATATAGCCCTAACATTTGTCACCGATTTTATATTTTAAAGGATACCATTAAAACATTTATCATGTTGGGGTGAGGATGAAAAAAAGTTCTATAGCTTCTCGAGGTGTGATGTCTTGTCTGTCTATGTGGAACCGGAGGGCAGCTTCTGCTACAAGAACGAAATAATCTGAATGTAAATGCTAGTAAGCTGGCTCGCTGTAAAATTATAACTGTATTGTGCGTATTGGCTATAAGGTGTAGGAATCTCTGTACACTGTTAGACTGTTTGTAATCATTTTAGCAGTGTGTCAATTTGGTTTTCTAACGGCTGCTGTGGTATTTAAGGAAACTGGGGCATTTCATTTTGGATTTTTTGGTGAAGTATTTCCTTCGTTTAAAACCTACTCACATTAAGGACACATAAAGACATTATTTGATTGTAGCTCTAAATAGCATATTGTATGACAAAAACACTGGATGGTCAAAAACAATTATTTAAGCATTAAATAAATTGTGTTTAACTCTGAAACTGTGTGATCTTTTTAGGCTTGAGAGTCTGTATATGCAGTGTCGAATAGAATTGTTTTCACTAGCTCATTGGCAAAAATTTTTACTTTACATGACATTAGGAATTATCTTTGTATTGGTTTTCATTAGATGCCCATGTAGTTCAAGTGTGGTGTTCTACTGGTGCGATGGCTCAGTATGCTGATGTCTATGCTGTGGACATGAAAACTATGTAACTTTTTTGGGGGTGGGGGGAGGGGTTAAAGGAAGTCAGGTAGGGTGCTGTACCACATCCCCTTATACTACTATGTCAATCAGGGGGTAGAAGATCCTTTGATATGGTTGAACTATCAATTTTTTGTCAATTTTGTTTGATATGTGTTTTCACCTGAGCAGATTTTTTGATGTACAATTCTTACTAACAGAGTGAAGCCATTGAAAATGTAACTATTCTAGCACTTTGGTTATTCAAGGTCTTTTAGAGGCTATAGCAGCAATGATGCCACCACAAATGTTTCAGACGTCTTTAAAAAAAAATCTATCTAAAAATAAAAAAAAATAAAATGCATTGATTTCGCAATACAATTGTTTCTGTTCTTGTCTTTGTGTCCTTGAACATTTTTTTTTAATCATGTAAGAAATTTAATGGCAGCAGGGTAGTTATGTCACGAGAGACACTGGCCTTCAACCAGAGTTATGTGCTTCTTCCCGACCAAAGTGTCCTTGAGCAAAATTCTCCAGGGCTGCTTGTTTACATGCTTTGATTACCAAGAGTTCCCCATGAGGATATTGCTGATTTCTCCTGAATAAGTAATGAATGGACTACATTTATATAGCACTTTTATCCAAAACGCTTTATAATTTGCCTCTCATTCACAAACACACTCACTCAGACATTTTGGGTTCAGTGTCTTGCCCAAGGACACTCGGACATGTGGACAGGAGGAGCCGGGGATTTAACCAAAAGCCCCTGATTAGTGGACAACCTGTTCCACTTCCTGGGTCACAGCCCCCCTAATAATACATCATAAAATGGAAAAGTTATTTCAAAGCAGTCTTGGCCCTCATATGCATGGTTCAATAACATCATATATTCCAGTTGAATTGGATGTATTATGCAGATGATGATGAGGCTAATTTGTAGTTACTGTAGTATTAATCACTAATAAAATATTAATACTAGTGGTACTGTGTCCAATTGATTGCGGCATTTTGTTTTTTTCTAGAGGTGGAAATGTTCTCTTGTTCACTTACTAATTATTTATCATATATATCAAATCTTTCCACATCAGTGACCATGGAGTCAGAGCAAGATTTGCCCCCGTTGAATGAGATGAGAGACAAGATTAAGCACAGGTGTATTTAGGATGATCAGCATTAAACATTTTGACACTCCCTCCCTCTCTAAAAGACGGATGACACAGGACACTCTTTAAGCTTTAAGTGTCTGGGATGTCGCACCTTTTCTCGGTTGGAAACCCAGTGTAGGATGGCGTTGATGAAGATGCAGCGAGGCTCCAGCTTCATGTGTCAAGGATGCATCGTGCGGTACTGGAGACATCCTGGTGGGGGCGCTGCGGCGACAAGCGTGAGCAAGGTCACACGGTGTACCATTCTGCTGTCTGCGCTCCTCAAACGCTGCAGCTGCCGTCATCTTCCCTACCCCACACTGTCGCACAGCCATGGCGGACAGCGCAAGCGAGAGCGACACCGACGGAGCGGGGAGCAGCTCGGCCACCCCGATGTCGTCCTCCGCTTCAAATTCGGGAAAACCGAGCATAGTCATTTCACAGTTTCGTCTGGAGGAGCTGACGAACCGCCTGGCCTCGTTACAACAAGAGAATAAAGTTCTAAAAATTGAGCTGGAGACGTTCAAACTCAAGTGCAAAGCCCTGCAGGAGGAGAATCGGGACCTCCGCAAAGCTAGCGTCACCATTGTGAGTAACGTTAGCCAGCTAGATGCTAAACCCACGCCACTTATTATATCGCGTTTGTCAGTAAGTTAGCTGTGGCTAGCGTGGCTTATTTAGTGCTAAATAGTCAATGTTAGCGCGGTTAATGTATTACATGGGATCGCTGTCTTAATTTGAACACACATTAGCCCTGATAACATTAGCTAGTTGTGTGTATTGCTCATTTAGCCAGCGGGCTAACATGTAGCCTGGTGGCTGACCAGCGGACGGACAGCTAACGTTAGTCTGCTTTGTTTTGCTTTGCGTGGCTAATCGTTGCTAGCCAGCTAGTTTAAAAAGGCGTTAAGAAAATAGGTGGGCGCCTCACGATGCAAGTGGCCGGACTGCTGTTAGTCACGGCTAGACGCTGCCACCACGTTACGTCCAACACGGATACGGTAACTCAGTGGAAATAAATACCCCGGCAGCAGCGTTGGCATGGACCGATGCGTCATCTGTCTTCATGCTCGGTTAATCAGCCTCCGCTTCATAAAAATGTGTAACCGATCTGTCGGATATATGAGAAGTATGTAGGCCAAACTTAACGAGCTAGCTCAATGCCGGGCTTATGTATTGGCAAGTCAGCCACAATACAGCCTGTCCACCCTTTGTACATGTGTGAAGCTTAACTAGCTGTTGGGTTTCTATTGTTCCTGGCATTGTTCCTGAACAACTCACACATTCTCCCAGCTTGCAAAAACACAATCGCTTTGAGGTCGGTGAAGAATGAGGATGGAGATTTATATATATATATATAATTTTTTTATTTTTTTTTTGAGACTGCTTTGAGAAGGACAGACGTATCATCACGCTGTAACGCTAGTTGTCCCAACACATTTCCCCCAGTGCCCCCATGTTTCACTCTTCCCCTCTAAGTCACCAGTTCCTGCTACATCTCTTGAGTCATTGGGGAGAGTTCTGCTTCCTCTTTGGCTGGCACTGGTGTTCGCTGCAGCAGATTTCGGTTGATTTGTTTGTGTTTTTGCAGTACTCCCTGTGTGCACTGTTGGCCGTTACAGTTTAATCAGGATAAATGTACAAATCCAACAGCTTGATGTGCCAGATCTAAGAGTCTTGTTCACTGATGTTTGACTTTGTTTTCTTTTTGTCCTGCAGCAAGCACGAGCAGAGCAGGAGGAAGAATTCATCAGTAACACCTTGTTCAAGAAGATCCAGGCCCTCCAGAAGGAGAAGGAGACTTTGGCAGTCAACTATGAGAAGGAGGAGGAATTTCTCACCAACGAACTGTCAAGGAAACTCATGCAAGTGAGTGATGGGAACGAGATAGGAAAATCTGTATTTTCAACTCAGTGGTTGGAGTTGTTTGTACCAGGCAAAATGGAGAATAGCCTTATCCTCAGATTGAACTTTCGCCCTTTCAGAAGACTTCTTGTTCACAGACAGCACTGTGATACAGAGATCTCTTCTCTATGCTCAATTATGCCAAGTTTTTGGCAGCAGTATTGTGAGGCATGTTCAGCTTGAACTTGCAGGGTGTGAGTCTACGCACACCACCCCATGTATGAGTGTGCAGCAGCTAGTGCGTTATCATTAACTGTATTGGTACTTGCCTGAAGCCTGGAAAGGCTCAAGATGACTTCACTGCGGCTGCTAGCTACTCTAAATGACTCTCAAATTACTCTCCTCCCGTCTGACGGTTATTTGGTTCAGTCTGTTTTCCACATCTTATTTTCCCAACTGCAGAGTGCACAGCACGTGCACACACTCACACTTTCGATGGCTAGCTGGAGGATGACTAATAGTTTGTTGATGTGTAAAGAAGTGGGGAAACTGGAAAGGACACATGCAAATGCCCCAACAGACCCTGCTTAAGGTTATACAGATGGGCTTGTTTGGGCTTTTGTTATCTTGCCTTCTCAGTTAACATGAAACAGACTTGTGTCTGCCACTGCCCATCGACTTGGTGCTGAAAAATGGCCCACAGTGTGTTTGCATGCATGTGGCCATGTGTTATACTATTGAGCAAATGTGGTCATTTATTTTACTGGGTGGCTGTAAATGCTCCTGTGCAGAAGCGCTTCTGTAAACATTTTGTCTGACCTGCGTTTTCCCCACCATTATTACTGATGATAGACTTAAGTCATCTGAACTTGAGCAGCTTGAGTTTGAGTAGCCAAACGATTCAAGTGCCTCAGCAGATTTGTGAATCAGTGGCCCTCTATACACTGTCAGTGTAAAATCTAACTTGCATCCTGCTTCCTGATATCTTCTAATGTGCCAATGTAGGGTTTTAGATTTAGTTGTAGATCAACTATTTAGGCCATGGCATAATGAAGGGAAAACATTCAGACAGTTAGCATTATGTGCTCTATATACACATATAATCACATTGCCATTGGTCTGGTGTTGCTTACAGACAGTCTCTGCTTGAAGGACAGAAGAACCCAAGTGGGATAAAATGTCTCTGCAAGGTGTCCATAGAAAATGAACACAGATATTGCCTCTCAGTACACAGTACAGTAGGGTGGAGGCCTGTTACACAATAGCTGGTAGTTGTATTGGTTATATGGAGGCACATTATCAAAACAATTCCTAAAATTGTTACTGTGTTAATTAGAAGAAAAATGGCTGCACTGGGTGTGGCAAAAGCTTGGTGGCCTTTACTTTCAGCCAGGATACCACAAAGCACTCAACTCTGTGTGAATGCAATCACTGCCAGTTTAAGCAAACTGCGTTGTTTTAAAGGGTTCTGGTTATTTGTTTATGGTTATTTTTCCCTCGTCTTTTCCTGTAAATGAATTTGCATCCCTTTTCCCATAATGAGTAATCACTTGTATAATTCATCACACAGTCGTGCCATTTGAATCACCGCTGAGCCGCACCCATTCTTTGTATTGGTGAGCTGCCAAAGGTGGTTATGTTGGTTGCCAAATCATGATTTTACACTGTTTATTCTTTTGGGAAGTTTAACCCTAAGTCTGATAGAATTGTTACATTGGGTTAATGTTTTGCTATACTCGCAATGTGTAATCTAAATAATCCAACACCAATGTGTTTGTTCACTGTGGTCATCAAATAGTTTTGATGTGACTCACCATGAGTCTCTTCTTGTGCTCTTGCTCTTTTCCCTTCTTTTTTATCTCTCTTGTTTCATCCACCTCCTCTTTTTTCCCTCTGTCCATGCACTACCCTCCCCTTTCCCATCCTAGCTCCAGCATGAGAAGGCAGAGTTGGAGCAGCACTTGGAGCAGGAACAGGAGTTCCAGGTTAACAAGCTCATGAAAAAGATCAAGAAGATGGAGAATGAAACCATCTCAAAGCAGCTAACCCTGGAACAGGTATGCTCATTGTGGTAGACCAAGATTTCTGCCTACAGTGTGGAACACCAAATCCCTGAACTTGTGTGTCCAGTTATTGTATTAGTGTGGCATACCAGAATTTCACCGTCCTTAATTCTTCCCACTGAATGTTCACTGGAAAGAACATTTTGGTCTGTGGCTGGGTCAAACCCATGTGTGCCGAACCACTTCATCATTTTTTTTTATGCTCTGACAGGATTTTTCTGTGGATGTGTGGGCCAAGCATTTTATTTGTTGTTGCTGCTCACTCATGGATGTATGTGTCAGTGTGATGCTTGTGTACTGCCACCACTGTGTATTTTGTCCAA